ACTTGCACGGCGATGAAGACGGCGAAGGCAAAAAACAACGCCTTCGTCGCACAGCGCCGAAACGACGTGCGCACGCTGTTACGTCTAGCCTATGTCCAGCGCCAACTGCCGCACACAGGCTCCGCAACGCTGACCGCCTTTGGCGCAGCGGCGGAGCAGGAGCCTGCCGAGGACACAGACTCGGACTTTGAGATGTTGACCTAGACCGACGTGTGATTCAGATAGTTGTCTTCAGATGTGTGTGTGATTCAGATGTGTGTGCGTGTGATTTTCGGCACGGGTATAGATTAGAAGGAACGTATCGTCACACACACCCTCTTTGAGAGAGGGACACAGCGTGGTGCCACAGTAGCGGGCGCTTCTACAGAGGCAACCGGTCCGAGGGCGAGCGTTTCGCTCGCCCTGATGCGCATGAGCGACGTGGAAGCTCTCGACCGGCGCAGATGCCACGGGCGACACCAATCCCAGCCTCAAAAGGCGAGGAGGGCTGGTGGAGTGCCCAGACGGCAGTGGCTTCCGAAGAACTTTTTGCGGGTGACGCAAAGGATCCGAGGAGAGAGCACCTCGGCTGCCGGCGAGGCATCCGCCCCGCGCCCACACATCTGATGGAAAGTGCGATGAAGCGGTGGCGGCAGGCTAGCCACCGGTGGGGCACACGGAGCGATATGGCGTTCGGCTGCGATTTGAGTGCAACCGGGTGACGCATCTCCTCCACAGAGACGCGGGGACGGCGTGCCTGCGAGGCGCCCGATATGCGCCAACGGACCCAATGGAAAGTGCGAAGCGAGCACTCGACGGCTCGCAGCCTGTGGACGGAGCACGAGAGCTCGAACCTCGCACTCGCGTGCAAAATCGGCACCTCGGAGCGCCATTTTCACACCGCATTCGAGCCCATGAAAACAACAATGTACCCCAAGCAGCACGATCACGCCTCGCACCGGTGCGGTGGTGCCGGGCGGCTCTAGGGGGTCAGGCTGGCTGCATGGCACCACCCGTAGCCCGTTTTGCTGCCCTGGCATCACCCGGAGGGGGGATTGAACATAGTAAGCGGCCAAGGGAGGGATGGGAGGACGGCACGCCGCCACCACACAGGGATTTTAAGGAGAGGTGTGTGATGCGCTAGCCGTCGCCCACCCTGTATATGGGTTATGGCCAGCACTCGCTTTTTTTTTCGCGCTCCACCTCCAGCCCTGCGGGTCTTCAGTAGTACTGGAGCACTTGGAGCACTTGGAGTGCAGTCGGTAACCTCACATCCAGGGCCGGTGAGCTGAGAAGCGCATCCAGCGGGCCGGATGATCGGGATCGGGCTACGGGCTAGAGAGCCCTGACCCCTAGCTAGGGGGGTGCGCATTCGCAGGGCAAGGGCCTTAAAGTAAACACGGGTCTCCGAGGGTTAGTTCTGCGCTTTGGGTGTCCCCTAGCGGCGGAACGCCCCCTCTACTCGGAGCTAGTAAACACCAGACACTAGACACGAGCATGACGTACACTCTCACCCGACATCGCCACTCAGGGCTCCTCCGCCCGATCTCCCCACCCCCCATCCGAGGGGGCTCCCCTCTCCTCCCGGTCCTCCCTCCTGTTCGATTTCCGATGGTTCGGCGTCGGCTGCGGAGCCCGCCTTCCCCTCTTATACTTCTTCGACCGCGGCCTCGCCGCCGTCTCGTCTTCGGGGGCTATTCTTGTTGCCTCCGTCTCCGGCGATCCCGTGCCCGACTCCTCGGGCGAGGGCGGCGGCATTCGATCGCCACGCCGCCCCTCCCCGGGGGGTGGGGCCAGCTCTCTTCGGTCGATGACTCGCGCCCGCCCCCGCGGTCTCTCTATCGTCCTCGGCTCGTCCGTCCGTCCCGACTCTACTCGCAGAGGCCGCGTCAGCTCGTCTCTCGCCTCCTCCGACAGCTGACCCCAGGCCCCCCCCGGGGCCCTCCGGTCTCGGCCCTCCGGCTCGCCGGCGGGTTCGTTGTTGTGTTGCGGCAACTCCCCCCTCCCAGCTCCTTCGCCCGGGTACGCCAGCCTCCGGCGGGGCGGTTCCGGATCCCCCAGGTTATTCCGAGCGGGTCCACACGGTGGCGGCCCCGCCGGCGGCAGGGGTGGAGGCGGTGGCAAGGGCGGCGGGTATGGTGGCGGCCCTTGCGGTCCAAACGCCTGGTGTGGAGCCGCTGGGGCGGCCCCACGACCCTGCAGCCGTCCCAGTGGCGGGGGCGGAAGTGGCAGTGTGGGTGGCGGAAACGATGGCAGCACTGGCGGCTGCACCGCTTGGTGTGGAACCTCAGGGGCGGCTCCTCGACTCAGCGGTCGCTCCGTACTGGGCTGGGTTTTTAGGCATTGTGGGGTTGGCACTCCCATCGACCCTCATGACCTCCTGCGGTCTCTGAGATGGACACCAGTGGGTGTGGGACCACAGCCAGGATACACTCGAAGGCTGGGTAAGCAGTAGAGGTCGATACTCGACGCGTCCCACATGATCTGTGTCGCTGTCGGCACGCTGTCGACAGGACGTCGAGCGACACCGGTGGCAGTGCCACCCAGGAGTGGTCGGGCGGTCTCCCGTCATGAGAGAGCCACCATGTGATCCGTATGATGATTCCTGACAACCGCCTCAGTCAACTTTCGTCACAGTTCCCGCTCTGAGAGGAGCTGCGGGTCAGTTCGACAGCTGGAGCTGTGTCGCCGGCGTGCGGCGGCCTGCCTCCGGAGGTGCCTCTGAGGTGGACATTTTTTGGTCACCGTGAGAGAACGCGTTCGAATTTTTACTCCGGAACTTCAACTCTGCACGCGCACCGGCCAGGGCTACAACAGCGCCAGTGAGGCGGAGGCGCGGCCGCGACCGTCAAGTGTTCCCGTCATTTTCCTACAAGCGCTGTGAACCCAGCCACGTAGGACACCGGAGGGCTACGAAGCCTTCAGCTTCACACTCCAAGGCGCAAGGGGCTGGGCAATGGCTGCTTGAGTCTCACGTTGACGGAGAGAGATGTTCACGCAATATACTAGCCCTGCTCTAGAGGGAATCTTTCACAATATCGCAACCGCGATACCGCGCGATATTTGGCGATAAAATGCGATAAATGGCGATGTTGTGCGATGCCCGATGCTCGCGATCACGCGCGTCCGAACCACCGCGTGTCCCGGTCCACCGTGTCCCTCCCTCCATTCACACTCTCCCAGTCCTTTCTGGTCTAGTGCCCGTCTTCTCCGCCCGCCGTCGGGCCGATTCCCCTCTTTCGTCCTTTAGACGTTTCACCTACTGTTGTAGCCTAAAGTCTGTGCAGGTTGCGGAGGACACGATCCCGGCGTGAACACGACTAACTGACGTATCTGCTCCTGACAGTGGCACGCACCGCGCTGTGGCGCGTGCCACTGTCTTTGTTTGAAGTTAAAAGTCGAATCAGAGCGGCGTCGGCGCTGTCCTCCATTTTCATCCCACGGACCGCCCGTCCGGCACCGCTCCGGGACGCACGCCGGCGAAGCACCATCAAGCTGCTGTACGGCCCTGGCATCGCCTTCCCAGGCTTAGCTAGACTGAGAGATATTGTGCACATGGTTGGTCTCTACAATATATACACTGACACTTTACCTCCCAGAGCTCTGTGCATTGTATGGCTTGTGTGGCGCCGACTCCGAGGGCGCGGTCAGCACCGCGCCGGATCTCTTCTGAGAGCCGGCGCGGATCGCGGATGCGGCTCAAGGCTCTGCCGGCGGGTCTGTGGCCTGGCGCCTGCCAGACTGCGGGTCCAAAGTACCCCGGCGCTCGCGCGCGCCACCGCCCCCGGCGCGGGGTGGGATGTCAGTGCGTGAGTCCTGTGTCCCCGTCCCTGTGCTCCACCTTCTTCTCCCGTGTCAGTCCCTGAGAACCCCACTACATAGCGCCACCTCGTGAGCTGTCCTGTGAGCTGTGTGCTGTGTGTCCAGCAGTCCGGACCCGGTGCTACGGCCGGTGACTGTGCCTCGTGCCAGCTCCCGAGCCAATCGTGTGCAGCGTGTGTGTGCGTGTGGGCCCGTCCTCCATGCTAGGAGGCGTGTAACACTGACTGATTGACTGTGGCGCAGTGGCGGGGTTGCGGTTGAGCGTTGAGGCGCCAAACTCATCAATTTACAGCAACTACCTTTTACAACTTTGACAGAAAGAAAAAGAAAGATCGCAAACCCTCAAACGGACCCCGCGGGCTCCGCGCCGGGGCCCCGGGGCGTGCGAGCCCCACCCCAGCTCTGCTTCAGGCATCAGAGGGTACAGGGAACAGGGTGGGAGGCTTAGGCTCGAGGGCTTAGGTTAGCGCGGAGTGAGAGAGTGTCCACACAGGGATTTTAAGGAGAGGAGTGTGTGCTAGCCTCGCCCACAGCGGATTGTTCCAACCAAGCCGCGGTCGATTCTTCTTCCTGCGATTGCCGCCAAAAAAGAAATTCTTCATGCTCCCTCAGGCGAACTTCTCTCGAGGCCAATGTGCATTGTCTTCGCCGCCGCGCCGCCTCGCCGCCTCCACCACCGCCGCTCGCCTCGCCGAACACGCCGCCGCCCCCGCGCCCGCCCGCCTCCTCGACCTCTCCACGGAGCTCCTCGCTCGCGGCGCGCCCTGTTACGTGTTAGACCTAAAGGTTGGCGCTTCGACCAACTATAGTATACTCTATAGGCCACCTTTTGCGCGCAAAAGGTGGCCTACAGTTGGTCGAAGCGCCGACCTTTAGGTCTAACAAAACAGGAGCTCCTCTCGGAGGGCGCACCCTCCTGCCCGCCCCAGTCACCTCAGGACCTGGATGAGCCGGTGGCCTAGTTGGTCGAACGAAGCGCCGACCTTTCTTTACGCTTTAGGTCTATCACGCCCTCTCTCGCTGCGACCCCGCCGACAACGCTCGTGTCGCGGCCGTCTCGCTGCTCTTCCACGCCTCGCTCGCACGGGAGGGCATTCGCTTGTGGGCGCGAGAGCGCGGCTTCGAGCTGCCGGCGCTAAGAAATATAATCTGCCGGGCGGCCCTTTGTGTTTCGGCTATTTTCGGTCGCCCCGCGCAAGCGAGCGCGCCCCCTTTCGTTCGCAATATTCGGCCCACGCCGGGTTGCAGGCACCGAGTCCGCGCTCTCACACCAATGCCTGCGGTCAAGCGGCCCAGCTCGGCGCCGCCAAGCAAAGAATACCTGAACCAGATGCGCGCGCAGAATCATGGGGCTTCCGATCAGGCTGAGCCAGCAGCACTGTGCAAATGGCTGTCGGAGCTGTGCGGTGGCGGATCGTCCACCCGCGACACGACGCTCACCCAAACCTCACCTGGAAGCTTCGGCAACTCTCTCTGGGCGTCGTTATACCCCTCTGCGGGAGCCGCCGCCAAAACGTGTGGGTAAGAAGGGGGAGAAGGCGGAAGCAGATCTGGAGAAAAGCTTGACGCCGTGGTGAAGTTCTCCTGAAGCATGAAAAAGTTCGTCCCCACGGCAGGCTACGTCCCCTGATGAGTTGCAGGTCTGAGACGGCTGGCTCTCTGTCCTCAGTCTGTCGCTTGACTGCTGCATGCAGAACACGTCAATGACTCAACGTGGGTTAGAGCCGGAACAGCAATGTTGGGGCTCGACCCCGGCGACCCGATTCACGCATAAAGTTACAAACCACGGGGTCCAATCGCGCCCCGCACCCACGGACCCATGGCGCGACGAGAAGGGCGACCGAAACCGTTCCCCCCACGCCACGTGCACGACACAGCTCACAGGTGAGAAGACGAGGGGCCGGCCACGACGCGGCGAGACGGCGGCGCCCGGCATGTGGCGTCCGCGGGCGGCCATGTCGAGAGTAACGCGAGAGAGAGGTAGTCGCGCCCGGCCAGCGCATCCAGAAGGATAGACATAAGAAACTTTTTCGCGCAGTGGGGCAGAGTGAGTGTGAGCTGTGTGAGTGAGAGAGAGTCTGCGCGCCTCCCCCTGAGCCCTGTGTGCTCTCGCGCCTGGCCCGTTGAGAGCTAGACAGAAACAGACACTTGAGCATCGTGCAGCTCGGGTTCACACGGCTCAACTCACCTCTCACCCGCCGCCGCCCGCGGCCGCACACGAACCGGTCGCACACCGCCGCGCCCCCAGAGCGGTGTGTCTGCTGAAGACCAACGGCACCTTCCACAGATGCGGCTACAGCTACTCGCCCCGCGCAGCCTCGTGCTCCGGCGGCGGCCCTTTCCGACTCCGTCGGCTCCGCCTCCTCCACTGCGGCGGGGCGGCGCTGCCGCGCCCACTGCCACCACGCGTGCGGCCCCGACCCCTGCCGCTGCCTCCAGCCACCGCGGCGGCGGCTGCCGGGGCCTTGTGCGCCGCCGCCGCCTTGGCGTCCCACAGCGGGCGGAAGCGCCTCGCGAGCTTCTCCCCCGCGGCGCCCGACTCTGCCAGCTCTGCAAGCAGCGCCAGCCCGTCCGCCCGGCGGCCGGCACCGTCGCAGGCGCGGAGGGCCGTGTGCACCGCCCGCTCGTCGGGGTCATGGTCGGCGCAGAGGGCGCGGAACACGAGCAGCGCCGGGCGGACGTAGCCGGCGGCGCTCAGCGCGTTCATCACGGTCGTGTAGCCGATGAGGGAGGGGCGCACCTGTGAACGGGCGGAGCTTGGGGGAAGGGGGGAGGAGGCAGCCACGGTGGTGCGCGAGGAGCGACGGGCGCACGTGCGCTGCTCGCATCCGGCGCAGCAGTCGGAGTGCCGCGCGTGCGGCGGGTCGACCACCCGCGCGGCGGCAGGCGGCGATAGCGGTGTGAAAGGAGATTGCGTCTGGTGCTGCGGCCTCGTCGAGGAGGGCGAGTGCGTCGCGCCACGCGCCGCCAGCCTCGCAGGCGGCGAGGGCGCAGTTGGTCGAGACGGTGTTTGGTGACAGGCCCTCGTCGCGCGCGTCCTGCAGGAGCGAGCTTGGCGGGGGTCGTCAGGGGAGGGAGAGGGAGGAGGTAGCAGGAGGCGGCGAGAGAAAGAGAGGGAGAGAGGGAGAAGGAGGGAGAGAGAGAGAGAGAAAGAGAGGGAGAGAGAGAGAGGGAGAGAGAGAGGGGGAGAGAGAGAGAGAGAGAGAGAGAGAGAGAGAGAGAGAGAGAGGGAGGGAGGGAGGGAGAGAGAGAGAGAGAGAGGGAGGGAGGGAGAGAGAGAGAGAGAGAGAGAGAGAGAGAGAGAGAGAGGGAGAGAGAGAGAGAGAGAGAGAGAGATGGGGAGAGAGAGAGATGGGGAGAGAGAGATGGGGAGATCGTCCTGCAGCATCGACGCGGCGATCGGCCAGTGCGCTGGCGTCGCGCACGCACGCATCACCGCGTGGTAGTGCACGAGGCCTGGCCGAGGCACAGCCGGGATAGGGCCGAGATACAGCCGAGAGCCAGCCGAGACACAGCCGAGACGCAGCCGAGATGCAGCCGAGAGATGGAGCGCGCGAGGCCTGGCCGCAGCCCCTCCGACCGCATCCGCTCGAGCAGCCTCAGCGCCTCATCCGGCTGCCCTCCTAATCTCGGGGCGATCTCGGGTCACCTCGGGCGAGTCTCGAGGAGCCACACCGCCTCCTCCCCCCTCCCCGCCTCTCTCGCACGCGGAGAGAGCCGCTCCGTAGCTGTGTGCGTCCGGCGTGTTGCGCGGCGGAGGCACCTAGCTAGCGGCGAGGCAGGTGCGGCGGCGGGAAGAAGAGAGGCGGGGAGAAGTGCGCGGCGCCGGCGGCACCCGCTCCGCCATCTCGCCGAGCAGCCGCAGCGCCGTCCGCCACTCGCCGCAGCGCGAGCAGGCGGCGATGGCGGTGTTGTAGCTGATTCGGTCGGGCGGCGCGCTGGGCGAGGCCTCCATCTCGGACAGCAGGAGGAGGGCCTCGTCCGACTGGCCGCCGCGCTCGCACGCCGCGAGCGCCGCGTTCAGCGCGACGGTGTCGGGCTCGATGCCCTCGTCGCGCGCGTCCTGCAGCAGCGAGAGAGCCACCGGCCAGTGCGTCGCCGTCGCGCACGCCCGGATCGCCGCCGTGTAGCCGATCAGGCTGGGCGGCAGCGAGGAGGCCTGCAGCGTCTGGAAGGTGTCGAGCGCCCGCGCCGGCCTACCCAGTGCACCGTGCGCCCGGATCGCCTCGACGTATACGGCGGCGTTGTGGGTGCGGTTGCCCAGGGCAGCAGTGGCAGTGGCAAAGATCTGCAACGCCGCCGCCCAGTCGCCGCGGCGGTTGTGTGCGGACATCTCGCGGGCCGCGGCGGCGCCCCGGGACGAAACGCGGCCGCCACCACGGGCCCGGGGGGCCGCTGGGGACATTACCAGCGATCACGGCGCGCAGAGGGTCTGCCCCCTGGGTTCCAACTTTTCCGGGGTATGGTATGGTGCCTCAAGGCTAGCCCTCGACAGGGGTGGGGGGGTATGGTCCCTCGGCCCTCCCTCTACTGCCGCCGAGCCCGCAGCGCCATGAGGCAGGAACAGGCGCCCGTGTCGCAGAGAGAGCTGCTGCAGCTGCTCCACACTCCACTCGCCGACACCCTTCTGGCTGAGGGAGGGTGTAGAGGATGTAGAGTGTAGAGCGCTGTAGAGCTGTAGAGATACAGCACACAACACCCTATAACTGCGTCATGACCAGCCTGCCATGTGTCGCCGGTGCCGCATTCGTCGCTGTGCTTCTTTAGCAGGCGGTGGACTGTCGGCTGCGAGGACGGTCGCATTTGCGCGAGGCGAGGCGAGCATTCAGACGCGTTGCATGCGCCATGACTCGCGCCAGCGCGTGCGGGAGCTCCTGGCTGAGCGTTGAGTCCAAGCGAGTTGCGCTGGCCACTATCGCTACGCCGAGCCGAGCTGACGCGCCGAGGCGCCGGCCAGTCGCAGCCGTGAGGCATGCCATAGCAGCAGAGGCACCTGCCACCCATTGGGCGGGTAGACAGAAGGCCAGGGCAGCACTGGCAAGTGCAACGCGCCTCATGTCGGAGAGCGACCGTGCCTCGTTCGCCGCTTATGATGTAGAGTTTGTTGTAGAGATTTCACGTTGTAGAGCGCCTCTACATCGCTCTACAACGCAGGCGCCTCGTCCCGCGGCGGATGTAGAGCTCTACAGCTCTACAGCGCTCTACAGCGCTCTACATCTCTACAGCTCTAGTACAGCGCTCTACACTCTACATCCTCTACACCCTCCCTCAGCCTTCTGGTTGCGGAGCGCCTCAATGTCGCGCGAATCAACATAGCCGTCGCCAGGCAAGATCTCGAACGCCAGGCGCAGCCGGCCAACCCGCTCGAGGCGACCACCGGCGAGGCGACCACCGGAGCGGGCGCGGCACCCACCGGAGGGGCACCCGCCGCGGCACGGCGATGCCCATTGAGGACGGTGTGGCGGTGCGGTGGCCCGCGGTGCGGTGCGGTGCGGTGCGGTGGCCCGCGGGGCGGCCGGCGCGGCGGCCACCGGAGCCGCCCGCACGAGTTGGTGTCGAGGTTTGGTGTCGAGGTGTCGAGGCCAGGGCTCAGCAGGGTCCCAGGGATTCCCCTCTCGTGTAGGACAAAGTTGCACCCGGCGGCACGGGGGCAGGCGCGGGCCTCCTACTGGTTGCGCTCTCCTAGTTCTCCTGTGCTACTGCCAAAAGGGACAGCGACAGGTTCCAGCACGGTGGACTCCCTATTCCACTGGCGATCTCTCTCGACTACACGACTAGCGACCTTCCTCCGGCTTCTCACTGGCAGTCTCTTGAGCACTTGAGCACTTGATAGGGTCGATTCCGCATGGTACGGGACCCCTCGATCGTCTCGCCCTCCCTCACTGGTGTGTTCATTGGGGGGGGTCATAAGCTCATAACAAACACGGTACAGGATCGAGGTGCACGCTGCTGAGGGACCCCAGGGGGTAGATCGAGCAGTGTCGTCCCCCCTCTCCATCATCTCCCTGGGAGACGTCGGCGGCGATGGCGGTGTGACCGATCGAGCTACAACAGGAACTTGTTCAGCACGATCCGGGTACCGGGTGGGCCGAGCAGTTCCTCACTTCCTCAATGGGTGAGCTTCAGATCTCGTTGCCCTCACGCCGTCACGCCTCGGCTCATGTGGAGTCGAACCACGGCCGGGATGGAAGTTTCCTGCTTCGTGTGTGTGTGCATGTGTGTGTGTGTGTGTGTGTGTGTGTGTGTGTGTGTGTGTGTGTGTGTGTGTGTGTGTGTGTGTGTGTGTGTGTGTGTGTGTGTGTGTGTGTGTGTGTGTGTGTGCAGGGCCGTAAAGTAAACACGGTGCTCAAGGGATTTTTCTCGCGAAGCAAAGCCGCTCTGAGGTCCTCTACCGCAATCTGCAGCACCGCAATCTGACGATGTCAGCGGCGCGCGAAGAGGAAGAGGAGGAGGAGCCCGCCTCTCTCCTCCTGCGGCTCGAGCCCACCGCCTCGCGGCTGGCTGCAATCTGCAGGCTCGACCTCCGCAAGGCTGGCCTCAAGCGCCTTCCCGCCAGCATCGGCCTGTGCGCGACATGCCTGGAGCAGCTCGATGTGGGAGGCAACCCTCTCGAATCGCTCGACGGCGTGCAGACGCTAGGGCGGCTGCGCGTCCTCTTCGCGACGGGTTGCGCGCTCGGCGGCCGGGGCCTGCCGGCCGGCGGCCCACTCTCGCGAGTCGACTCGCTCTTCATGCTCTCGCTCAAAGAGAACGGGCTGGCCGTGCTCGACGGCGAGGCGCTCCCCCCAAAGCTGGGCTGGCTCATCTGTGCGCAGAATGCGATCGCCGAGGTGCGGGCTCCGCACCGACTGAGCCACGTGCGCAAGCTCATGCTTCCGCACAACCTCCTCGACGCGGTGGCGGCCGACTTACTCATTGAGGCGATCCCTGCGCTCGAGATGCTGCGCCTCGCCTGCAACCGCATGGAGACCCTCCCCGCCGCCGCCTTTCGCCACCCGCGGCTGGCATGGTTCGCGTTCGGAGGCAACCCGTACTCTGCCCGCCTGTGCGCTGCCGCCCTCTCCGCCGCCGACGCAGCCGCCGACGCGGTGGCGACTCTGAAGGACGCCTCGGAGGCGGGCAGAGAGGTAGATCAGATCGAGAGGCAGAGCGGCGAAGCACTGTCAGCCACAGCTGGGCAGCAGGCGGTATGGGGGTGGACGCTAGGCGAGGCGGAGAGACGGCCACACTGGAGCGACACAGACACACAGGACAGGACACACCTACCGGCGGGACTGTCACACCTCCCGAGTCTACGTCGCAGGTGGCTGTGGGGGAGGAGGAGCTGGGCCGCGGCTCGGGCGCGGTGGTCAAGCGCGGGACGTGGCAGGGTACGCCGGTCGCCTGCAAGCTGGGGCGGGCAGGTCTCTCACCACACCGCCGCCCGCACCCCTCCCACCTTTTTTTGAAGGTCGCCTGCAAGCTGTGGTCGGCGGAGCTGTTTTCGGACGGCGACGCGCGCGGCGAGTGGCTCATGGGGCGACTGACCGGCGGCTGCGCCAGCCTCGTCCGCACGCTCGCGGCGTGGGAGACGCCGTCGCTCGGCATGGCGGTCGAGCTGCTCGAAGGCAGAGCCGAGATCAGCCGAGATGGCCCGAGATGGCCCGAGAGATGGCCCGAGAGATGGCCCGAGAGAGTTGCGGGTGCGGAGCACCAGTAGGCGCTCCCGCAACACTCTCGCCCCCACTCCCCCAGCCTCGGCGGTGGGCGGCCCGCCGCACGTCCAATGACATGCATGTCCCCAGGCGCCTCTGCGGTGGGCGGCCCGCCGTCCTTCGCGTCGGTGACGCGCGACGCGTTCGTCGAGGGGAAGCACGCCCGCCTCACACCGGCACAGGCGCGAGGCGTCCTTGGGCCCTCGTCTGCGCGGCGCAGTGTCCGCGACACGACACGTGCCATGTGTGTCCACGACGGCCCCGCGGCCGTGCCTTGCAGGCGAGAGAAGTTGCGCGTGCCGTCGCTCGCGCTGGGGCGTGGCTGCACGCGCGCGGACTCGCGCACTGCGATATCTACTTGCACAACACGCTTCGCGTCGCGGAGACGGAGGCCCCCCCACACCGCGCCGAGAGGTAGCCGAGATCCAGCCGACCGACTGGCAGATCGTGGCCAACATGGGTCTGCGTGGCTTGGTGGTGGGGGCGGGGCGGCAATCGAGAGGGGCGCACCTCGGGCGCGTCCCAGCTGTACGGGCCCGTGGATATCTAGCCGACATCTAGCCGAGACATGGCCTGTCGACGTCGGCCGTTGTTCGGCCGCGTGCCTCGGCGTCCAGGCGTGGTCTGACCGTGCTTTCACTTCTCTCTTCTGTCTGCAGGTCGTGAAGCTGTCGGACCTCGGCGCCGCGTGCGCGTACGACCGGCACGGCCACACCGCCGTCGAGAAGCTCGAGGTGCGCTCGTTCGGCCTGCTGCTGCTCGACCTCCTCTCGCACCTGCAGGTCTCGCACGACGGAACCTTTGGCGGCGGCGAGGCGGCGGCGGCGGCGGCGGCGCTCCGACACGCGGCGGCTGCGTGCACAGCCGAGTCGCTCGAGGCCCGCCCGTCTTTTGCGGAGCTGTGCGCCGAGCTCTAAAGGCGGTCGGATCGGCGACCCCCCCGTGTATTGAGAATCGCCCCATTATGTATTTGAAGCCGTCGATTTCCTTGGGGGCTCAAACAACGGTGTGCCTTAGGGTGTGCTCGTTCCCTGTGTGGTACCTCTACCTGTTCCTGACCTGTCGGTGTGAGATCGCGACGCGCCACGAGTCCCGTGCTCCCGTGCCCAGTGTTGACTGTTGTGGCTTGTGGTTGCGCTTTCCGGAAAGCGGCAAAGGCATCCAGTTTTTTTGCGGTTTGGTCGTGAAAGATTTTGCTAACCCCTGCGGAGTCGTGCGGGGGCGGGGCTCCTCTTTGCGAATACTCCCATACATCTCGTACCCGTTCTACGAGCTTCTACCAAGAGAGCTCTCTTGGAAGAATTTGCTAACACGGAGAGATTTTTTGCTTCGCAGTCGCCAGACGACGCAGGGCAGACGACGGGGAGGCGGAGCAGACGCGCAGGGCGAGACGAGGGAGGGAGCAGGACTTTGCGGAGATCAGCAGGAGGATATACGAAGAGATTGGAGCAGCAGGGACCCGAGGGACCATGTGGAAGACGGCTAGTGGTAGTGCTAGTCCCCCATCGGGAGGACGACCCCGGCTAGTCGCCGACCACACCCACAAAGAACCCTGCACAAAGATCGCAGGGCGGGGACCTGCCTTTTTACCCATCTCCTAGTAGATGTCCGTTTTATTTTATTGCTTCGCACGTTTGTAACCGTCGGCGTCGCTGGCTGCTCGAGTTTGTCGTGTCGAATGCGCCGATAGCGTTTGGCCGCCAAGCTCAATATGCGCGCGCTCCGCCGCGCCGCGCTGCTTCTGCGGTCATTCTCGAAAGCGGACATTGACCCTTCCGCTCAAGCGGAGGACGCCCTGTGGTGGGCACTGAGGGGAGACAGCGAGGCTCGCACAGTGCGGCGCAAATCTAGACAGGCCTTCCTCTGCACCGGCGCATGCTGCACTTGCATTGCCGTGGGGGTCGCGGTCGCCTACCGCGACCCGCACTGCCCACTCCTCGGCATTGCCGCCTGCGCCACACTGCTCGCCCTCCAGCCGACCGACCCTCCTCGCCTCATCCGCGGAATCGCAGCGACCGCGGCTCTCGCGTATGCCATCGCTCTTGTCCAGGCAGTCTTGCAGATTGCTGATGCCGACGTGGCGTGCACCCCAGCAAGGTTTGCATTTCCGCGCCGGGTCCTTGTCTACTGGGCCGCCATTGCTGCCGTTGCTTGCGCCGTCGTGCCACTTCTCGCTCGGAGGGCCTTCTTCTCGCCCTGCGCTTCCAAAGGCAAAGGCAGCAGCAGCAATTCTTCTCGCCCTGCGCTTCACGCGCTCTGGCTCGCCGCGCGTCTCTTCTACGGCGTCTCGGCCGCCGCGCAGATCGGATCTTCCGTGGCTTGCCACGCGGACGGCCTCGCCGGCCGGCTGTGCGTCAGTCTGGTCTCGCTCATCCTCCTGCTCGTCCTCTTCTCGTATCCCGTGCGCCGCGCGCTGCAAGCGTGGCTCGCCAGGTTTCTGACCGAACGGGAGCGGCGCCGCAGGAGACGGCGGAGCATGTCCATGGCGGCCGGGGTCGCGAGGGACGTGATGGAGGGGCGCGAGCACTGGACTAACTCGATGAGTGTCGCCGAGCTCGTGGGGAGGCGCCGGCCAACCTCGCAGCTACTTCAGCTCGGAAAGGCTCGGTTCCGGGCGCTCCCCTTCTCCAAGCTGCGGCGCGAGGACCTACAGACCAGCGCCGACACGGGCCTGCACGAACACACCGGGGCTTGTGAGCTCGGGGCTTGTGACGCCTTCATCTCACACTCATGGTCCGATTCTCCCGAGCACAAGTGGAGGAGCCTCTCGCGGTGGGCGAGGGAGTTTGAGGAGCGCGAGGGGCGCGAGCCGCGGGTGTGGCTCGACAAGGCCTGCATCACGCAGAGCGCCATCGACGAGCAGCTCGGCTGCCTGCCCATCTTTGTTGCAGGCTGCCGCGAGATGATAATCTGCGCTGGGCCGACGTATCTGGACCGACTTTGGTGCCTCATCGAGGAGACCATTATCGGCGTGAGCTGCTGCTCGCGCACTCTTCGGAGAAATTTCGCAACCTTGATATAGGTGTACTGCTTCTGGCAGCTGGCGGGCGTTGAGGATCGACTTGTGCTGCTTCCGCTGCCGCCCAGCTGCACGCCGCTCGAGCTCGATGCGCGGACACAAAAGGCGGTCTTGGGCGCAGCGCTCAAGCGCTTTGAGCGGTGCGACGCAGGTAGCGCCAAGTGCTTCCACGAGCGGGACCGGCAGCAGCTGTTGGGCGTGATTGAGAGCGGGTTTGGGAGCGTCGAGCACTTCAACGAGAGGATGCGCACCGCTTTTTCCACGCTGCTCCAGGCGAAGTACATGGCCTGGGAGAACTGGAGCAAGGCGAAACTGATCCCCCACCCATGTTCCGCAGCAGCAACCCTTGGGCTCGCGAGCACGCCGCCCCCACGCTGAAGCATCTCCTGCCATCCGTGTGCCAGGTCGAAGACGCCGTCGTCGAGGACGAGACGGCCTTTGCGGAGCTCGTGCGCTCGATGCTCGGCAGCAAAACGGTTCGCGGGTCATGGCCGGGGTGGGGATCGGGCAAGGGGCTCAACTCGTTTCGGCCGCGTGCGGCGAGCCGGATCCACCCCGCAAGGACGAGTCGAGACCTGAAGCGAGCAAAGACCCTGCCACTGCCTGCGCGCGCGCGAAACGCGAGGAGCGCCTCAGACTCCACCCTCTTTGGAACGTCGTCTGAGCGGTCCTCCGTAAGCGAACCGGGGTAGCCAAAGCCGGCGTGCCGTGACGCGCTCGTTGGTGGCAGCATGGGATCGCTGGGATTTTCTCGTGTTTGGCACACAGTCTCTCTAAGTTCTTGCCCCGGGTGTGTTTCTGTGAGCGAGACTTGTATTTTAAGAATTCTCTACGTTAGTCTCGGGCCATCGCGTATTGATCATGTGGCACTGATCACGCGGTCCCGCGCTACTCTCTCTCTCTCTCTTCTCGATATCACAATTTTTCCCATCCCCGACCAATGTCCCCGGAAGTGGGGACAAGAGCCCGAAGCCCAACTGGCCACCAGGTCGGTCGTCGGGCACAACCCGCATCTCAGTGGCCACCTCCGCCGCCGCCGCCGCCACCACCACCTTCGATCATGGTGAGCTCGAACTTGGGCATGCCCACGCCGTCGATGACGAGCGCAAAGATGGAGAAGAAGCCTTCGCCGAGCACGAGGCCGGAAGCTACCATCAACATGTGCGTATCGTAGTGCTCTGGGGCGCACTTGCGCCAGACCAGCTCCCAGAGTGAGCCTGCATCGCAAAAGGAGGCGGCTGTGGGAATTCGGCGTTGGCTGTGGGCGCGAGCGTCCGTCCAGCGGCGGCACCGACGAAGCGCGGGAAAATCCAGTTGGGCGTCACGTAGATGCCCATGCCAAGTGCAACGCCCGAAGGGAGGAAGGCGTGGAGTGCCGTAGGTAGAATCTCCTCGAGCACGGGCAATGCGATGCCGGCGATCACCAAGTAGAGGCCCACCTAGGACCGAACCGGGGGGGGGGGGTGGCATGCGAGTTTCCTGGCCGGCCAGCTGGGGGGGAAAGGCGGGTCAGGGGGAGGGGACAGCAATATGCGCTGCTGCTAGACGGTGCAGCGTAGCGCCCACTCACATCCATGACCGATGGGTCCAGCACGTCGGTGCCCTTCGACAGCACCTCGGCCATGTCCCTCCAGATGTGCATGGAAGGGGCGGGGAATCCCCCGTTGGGGTCACCGATGTTGTAAATGTTTTGGTAGAGGTTATAGGCCGCCACGGTCACGAACGAGGAGACCGATGCGCCGATGAGCTGCCCCATGAACATGGCGCGCGGCGAGGAGCGCAGGATGTGGGCCGCCTTCATATCCTGCATGAGGTCGCCTGCCTGGATCGCGGCCGACTCGGCGATGCCACCGGCAATAACGTTGGTGACCACGCCAGTGCCGGGGATGGCGGCAAAGATGAGCTGGGAGAGCTTCCCCACTCCGGAGGCGGGGTTGAGGTCTGTCGCACCGAGCGCTCGCACAGCGAGGACACCGATGAAACACGACAGGAACACCGACAAAATCGATTGCCAGTAGGGAATGTTGAAGAGGGGTGAGATGGTGCCGACGGTTGCCGCGGAGGCGATGAGCAACCCGGTCATCCACCAGGTGGCTGGCACACGCTGCTTCAGTGGAGCAACCTCCACGTCGTCGGTCTATGGCACGGGGCGGCTCCGCGTCGCGCGCGCTGCGCGTAGTGCTGGGCAGCCCCACGTCTCGAGTCGCACGGGGCTGGAGCCCATGTGCCTAAGTTCGCAGGTGGGGGCGGTGCGCACCTCCGCTCCGTCGCCGCCGCACGCGGCCTTGCAAGCGGGCCCAATCTGCTTGAGCGCAAGAAAGGAGAGCGAGGTGAGCGCCTCGGCGAGCATGATGGCGAGCGAGAGCCACGTGAGCCAGCCCTTCGCGCCGTACTCGTAGCTGCTCACCGCCTGTTCGCACTCGCTGAGGTTGGGAGGAGTGGTGCTGTTAGCCGGTCCGCTCCCCTCGCCTCGCACCGATGGGTCGATGGTGGGCGCACACACGCCGGTCTCCTCGTCGACGACAGCGTCGAACAGGATGTCCGGATAGCCGCCGTACAACTCGATGTTGTCCGGGTACCCCTCGACATCTGGCTTGTCTTCTGCCGTGAACCCGACCCAGGCCTTCGTGAGTGCCATTGGCCCGAGAAAGCCCCACGCAAGGGCGCCGCCAATCATGGAAGAGCCGGCCACTCGGAGTCCCATGATCATACCCTGCCCCACGTACGCGAGCGACGGCTTGAGCGTCCAACTCAGCATGGTCAAGTTGGGGTAGCAGTAGCTGGTCAGGATCGGGATGTTGGCGAGCTGAGGGATCTGAGAGGGCGGGGGGTTGCAAACGTTTTGCTCGCGTGAGTAAGATCTGGTGTGAGCCGGCACGGGCGCGGGGCACAATGCTCTGGATGAAAGAGGCGAGGAACGAGATGGTGAAGGACGTGCTCAACGTGCTGAACCGCGCAGACATCTTTGCCCTCTCAACTTCATCGTCCCCCGAGGCGTGCAGCGTTTCAATGATCTTCCCGGTGGCCATGCCAGATGGAAACCGGAGTTCCTCGACGAGGATCACCTAGGGAAAGGATGCGATGCCAAGTGAACCCCCCCCCCCCGCCCCCCTCATCCCCGCCCTTTGGCGGCCTGCTTGCGCAGCGGCACGACGAAGAAGATGCCAAAGTAGGTAAGTGCCATGCTCCACACGAGCTGAACGACGGGATCGACGCCGATGTTCGCTGGCCCGGTGCAGAGGAGGTCCGGATTTGCCTCCGTCTCGCAGCCCTCAGGGACCTGGAGGCCCGAAGTGCCGGAGGGGAGGTCGGGGCTAGGCGAGCGCCAGGGCGACGCGCGTACAGAGGAAAGGGGGGGGGGGGGGGGAGCAGAGACGTGTAGGAGAATATCGGCAGCCGCGGCAGCGGAGCATCTAGCGCCGACAAGGGACTTCAGCGCCGGGACGATGCTGATAAACCCAGCCGAAAGAGGCATGGTCGCCGTTGCCACGCCAATGGTCTGCAGCACAACATTCTCGTGCTGGTTGAGCGGGCGAGTCGGTTTGCAGATCTGGAAGATGCCATAGCCGACGACAGCACACTGGATCGAGCCCATGGTAATCTGCCGTTTCACGGGCGCGAGGTCAGCCGGAGCCACTCCGTGCTTATTCGCTGGCGCCGGGGCAGCATCTCCTCCCTGTGCTTTGTGCAACGCCGCTGCAATAGCGTGTGTGACGTGAGTACCCCCCCCCCCCCCTTCCGGCATCTATGCACGGGCCCAGCCCGTTTGGAGGCCAAAGTACATGTTGGTGAAGCAGAGCATGACACCGACACACAGGCCCGCCATCACCGCTCGGCACGTGAATTGCGGCACGTCGTCGCCGGGCACCGTGGGACCGCCAGTCTTCAACCCACCAGCGATGCTGTATCCAGAGACCCCATCTCGCCCAGTCTTGGACTTCCCGGTACTGAGAGAGCGAGAGAGACTGGCGTCCATGCTTCTCGTGGATTCGCGGGTCGGACGTCCCCTTATTTGATCGGCCGACGATAACGCCATAAGTTCGTTTTAGCGAGGGGAGATAAGGTTCATTTTTCTTTTTTGGCCCATGGGTTTGGGTGAGCCCAGCTGGGTGAGTGCCTTCAGTCTGGTCCTGCGTTGCTAGCGAATTTTCGTGTGTGGCTTGTGACCATGTGTCCATCCTGGCTTCGAACAACATCAAACAAATGACCTCGGGGGGGGGGGGGGGGGGTCCTTTCGCTTGATTAGCGCCTGGCGCTGGGGACCAGTCATGGCACACTGATCACTGCTGTGGTCAGCCTGCAGGCTCACTGCAAGGTGTGTTCAGCTGTGTTCACCTCTCCATATATCCATCTGGGATGACAAAGACTGGGATCATACAAAGACCACTACTGTTTTTTGTACTGCACGTTACTGCTGCCACTGCTGCGGCCGAGTCACAGCAAAACAGTCGCGGCGACTAGTCCACCCAGCTCGGCGCACCGCTCGCGCGCATCCTCGGAGCAAGTTTTGGCGCGCAGGATCGCGCTGGCGGTCTGCGGCTCGCCATTGCGATGGACGATTGTGTCTGTGACGGCGCGCAGCCGCCACCCACGGCAGATCCTTTCGAGCTGCCTCGCCGCATTGCTCCCGTCCGAGCCGGCCGCAATGGCAAGGCCGTAGGGGCGGCCGGCGAGCCGTGAGGCCTCCGACTCGTCAAAGCAATCGTAGTAGCTGCGGTGAAAAAACTCGAGCATCTCGCCGCTTGCCGACGCAAGGTTCTCCTATCGATATGTGGTCGAATTGTTGCACTTCGGCGCGAGCTTGGCTGATCGGGTGGGCAGGCGGAGGAGATTACTGGTCCGCAGAAGATATACCCGTCGCTGCCCAAGACGTCCTCCACCGTCGCGTCGCGTGCTCGCCTGCGCAGCACGCTGAAGTCACTCTGGCCGCAGCCCATCTCCTCCGCTGCCGCGTGCGCACCCATCTCCGCAGCGTCGGACATTTGCCGAGCGAGCCCCGTCCGGCTGTGCCAAACGATTAATATTCTTTTTGTGAATACGGGCGCTGAGCTCAAGCCCCGTCGGCAGATGCGGAAGAGGCGCCCTGCGTCTCCTGAGACGTGCCGCGCCATGTGCATCGCCACTCGTCGCCACGTGCAGCTCGGAGGGTTGTGCTGACACCAAAAAAGAATTTTTCTTCGCAGCACGACGCAAGGCACGGGACCACACCCCTCTCCTTAAAATCCCTCTGTGGTGGCGGCGTGCCGTTCTCCCATCCCTCCCTTGGGTTGTCCGTTTTCTTTCTTTCTTTTTGCACGGGACTGGCGCGCACTCACAGCACACACTGGCACTTAAAATCCCTGTGTGGTGGCGGCGTGCCGTCCTCCCATCCCTCCCTTGGGTTGTCTGTTTTCTTTCTTTCTTTTTGCACGGGACTGGCGCGCACTCACAGCACACACTGGCACTTAAATCCCTGTGTGGTGGCGGCGTGCCGTCCTCCCATCCCTCCCTTGGCTCTACCTGACATGCAACGAATGGGGGCTAAAGTGCATAGCGCCAGAAAAGTACACTGTCATCGAGATAATGAAATCAATCGATGTCGACAAGTCGGGCACCCTCAACTGGGAGGTGAGCGCTAGCTGCTCTAGCACTGACGCTGGACGAGCCTCACGCTGGATCTGGCGCCCGCCCGATTGCAGGAATTCAAGCAGATCTTCATGGTCTTCTCAGAGCAGATTGGCATGCGGGCCCTGGCTCAGCTTGTCTTCACGCTGATGTGTCCGTTTGTCGCGGGCATTATTTGCTCCACAATTGCAATGATCTTTCGAGGGGTTCCCAGCCTCCTGCTGCCCCGGAGCGTGATCAAGGTGTTTTCGATGGTCCCGGAGGCCGTGCCCGTCCTGGTGTGCAGCCAGCATGAGGCGCACCGCTCGTCGCACCCACGGGACCAGCCCCCACGCGAGACACGTAGGCGCTATCGACCATCCTCTTCACCCAGCTCACCTACCCGCTCGATTGGGTGGACCAATTCACTGGGAATAACCGTGCGACGCGCTATCGCAAGTCACTTCAAAAGGAGTGCCTGACCCGCCCGGGACCGTCCCTTGACAATCTCTCGCGTCGCACCCCTTCCCATCTCGCCCCCCGCAAGGACGAGGATACCAAAGCCCCGGAGGCGGCGAAGAGCGACGAGGCTGCCGACGCCACGAGCGAGACGGAAAAGCTGCGTAGCAACATCGACACCGAGGGGCCATCAAAACCTGAGAAGGTGACTGGCGAGCGAGACCTCACTGCTTGAACGGATTTATTAGTGCCGAGACATTTAACGGTTCGGTACATACGTTTCTCGGGCACTATTGCGAGGCCGGGAGATAGAGCCACGCGCAAAAGGCAGAGTGCGCGTCTGGACTGCGGCGCGCCCCCCGCCTAGCCCCCCGCCGGCGCGGGTCGGGTCCCCCCGCGTAACGCGCCGGACCGCGGAGGACCGGGGCGCGGCCGCCGGCCGTCGCGTGTTAATGTTCCCCGCCCCACGCCCGTTCGCGCCGGAACTTACACGCCGCGAGACGCGACAAAATTATCGACGACACGATCAGGGCAACGTTTACACTCCTCTGCCGACACCTTTTCGCTTGGCTTAATTTGTTTTTTGTTTCATGGTGTTTGCGCTCGCCCCGCGTTTTTTGTGTGCCCCAGGCGGTGCACCAAAAGAGCTCGCCGCGGTATAATATAAAGCAGCTGCCGGCGCGCCGCACAGTCGACAGCACCGCTCGCGGACACACGAGGGGTGACTCCAGCCCCAGGGGCTCCCAAGATCCGAGCGCTCGAACGCGCCGGCCCTCCACACTATTCCCACCCGTGCATGACACCAAACTTGCCCTCCCTTCGCATGCGCAGCCGCACCCCGCCCCGCCCAAGCCGCGCTCTCCCAGCCGCCACCACGGTGTGGCGGGTACACTGCCCGCGCGGACGCCTCGCTCCTTCCCGAGGCCGCCTCGCCCGCGCCTCCCGCCACCCGCCTCACGCCGCGAGGGCAGCAAAGCCCGCCTCGAAGCCGTCCTTGACTGCCTGCGGGACGGGGTGGCGGGCACGTAGCACGAAGCGCGGTGAGGGGAGACGGTCTACCACCCGGACAGCGGCGGGGCAGCCCTCGCGTCCCACGTCGCATCTCCACGTCCCAAGACAGGCGGGCGCTGCGCCGCATCAGGTGCAAGAGAGAGTCTCTCTCTCTCTCTCAGGTGCACGGCCTCGAAGCGCTCGAGCTGCGCCGCGCTGGCCGGGCCGACCAGAGAGCCGAACCGCACGGCGCGCGGCGCCACAGTGTGCACGTGGCCAGAGCGGGGCCGGCGCGCGCGTGTGAGCGAGACCTGCGAGACGGGCTGCTTCCCCAGGTAGACACCGAAGAGAGCGAGGCACAACCCTTTGCCGCCGACGGTCTGCCCCGGCGCAGCCGCGTCCGACACGTACAGCGAGTCCGCCTTGCACGTGAGGTACCTGCGTCAGGAGCACACCAGAGCACTCAGAGCGGCACACACCATGAGGCTACGAATACAGCTGGAGACAGCCGAACACGGCTCAATGCAGCCGAATACAGCTTGCCCGGGTGCCTGCTCGAGTGCACGAGAGCCCGTATCCCGCATCTAGGGACGAGCACAGCTGCGCGCCACGCGCGACCGACTCTCCGAGCACAGCCTTGAGCGCCGCCTGAAAGAAGAGCTCTGGAGTGAGACAGAAGGGCGGGCACCCCCGCCGCCGCCTCTGGAGCGCGCCTCGAAGCGCTCCACCAGCGGCTTGCTCACGCCCTTGAGCGCCTGAAGGGAGGGTTCCGAGAGGGGTCCGGGAAGAGGGGTCCGCTCGCCCAAGCGGCTAGCTCACGTCGCTGTCGAGCGCGTCGCGGAGGGCGTCGACGACCGCCTTCCCGCCCACGGACCGGTGGAACCGGAGCAGCAGCGTCTTGGCGGTGCGGCTGCCGCTCACCGCGTCAAACAGCGCCTGGCCACGCTTGCCGCTCCGCTTCAGCGTCGCCACGCCGCCACTGTCGAGGTACACCCCCACCGCGTACACCTGCGGCGCGGAGCGGCCGCTGAGCCTCGGCGGTTGCAGCCGCTCAAGCGCGCCGCCCGGGCCGGGGTCGCACCTTGACTGCGCCGTACTTGTAGCGCGTGCCTCCGCCCATGAGCTGCTGCGTCGCGCCAGCCGTACGCAGCGACTGCGGGAAGGCGAGGCCGTCGATGACCAGCTCACCAGCCGCACCGCCGCCGCCGAGGGAAGACGCTACGGCGATCGCGGCGATGGCGGCCGCGCAGACAAGGAGGCCCGTCGACGCGCCCGTCCTAGGCGCGGGGAGGGGGTGTGGTGTGAGGGCTCGGGCTTTGCGAAGCTGCGGTCCTTCTTACTCGCGCGGCGATGTTACATGAGCTGCTCATGCCGCTTCGCCGACATGGGATTGGGCGTATTGGAATCCCCGAAAAAAAAAGCTTGATGGCTTTCTCCAAGAGTCATTAGGCAAAATCCTGCAAAGGTGGGGACGTGTCTGTCCTCGACCCAGCCCTAGCTTGGGATGTCCGTTATATTTATTTATTTATTTAGGCACGGGACTAGCGCACTAAGGCCCTGTGTGGTGGCGGCGTGACGTCCTCCCATCCCTACCTTAGTTTACCTGTTTTCTTTCTTTCTTGAACGCTGTCCTCTCGGTCTACCCGTCACTACGCGACACCGTCGCACTGCGGGGCATGCCCCTGTCCCCGGTGGCAGGGGAAGAAACAGTGCCGATGCTGCAGCACTTTGCGCAGCACTACAATGACATCAGCCAACGGCGTGGGCCGGGCGATGTCGCGCGCATCTACGCGGTGCAGGCACAAGACAAGGAGTTTGGCCTCTGCCACACGTACGAGCTTGGCCGCTTCTGTCCGTCCATGCTGCCGTCGGCGCAGCGCATCCCGCCTATTGGCGACCTCTTCACGCAGCAGAGCACCTCTCCAGTCCCGAAACAGGGCACGCTCGCTGCTGTCGGGGCCCATGAAGCGTGGATCGCGTGCCTGGGAGGCGGCGTGCGAGGAGGTCGACAAAAACATGCCGCAGTCGGAGGCGATCAAGTTCAGGGACGCAACTCGCTTCATCTCGATCTCCCAGTTCGGCGCCGCTGGATGGCTCGACATGCGCCCTGATGGACTCCACCACACGAAGATGGTGTCGGCGATGTTCCTGACGGCGATACAGCGCAGGCACGGGCTCTACTTGTCGGTGATTGCGCCCACTCTCGTCGAGAAGGCTGCCGCGGGCGAGCACGTCACGGTGGGAGAGTACAAGGGCGACTTCCTCGCCAACTCCAACAAGGGCGACCGCACCTCCAAGCACAACGGGGTGCTAAGGGCCGCCCAGAATGCCATCCGGGCGCGCTCGGTTGGCAGCATCATCCTCGGGGAGAAGGAAAAGCCCGAGGTGACGCGGCACCTCAACGACACGTCCGTGACTGACATCTGCGAGATCGGCGGCGACTTCGCCACGATGCGGGACGTGCACTACGAGGTCAAGTGCTGGAACTCGCTCACCAAGTCGACGACGGCGGGGAGGGGCTCGTGGGACAATGGTGGCAATGTGGCGTCGGTGGGCCACCTCTACGGGTTTGGAAACACGCTGGACAAGGCGTTGACGGGACGGGAGTCGTGGGGTGCAAGGAGCGTGGCCGTCAGGTGGACGGACCGCTCGACCACTCGACTGGAAAGGGATGGGTCAAAGACCACGCGTATGGAAAGGGGTGGGTCAAGACGGATACGGGCTGGAAGTGGATGGGAGCGCAGTACTACGACGCGAAGTGGGTCAAGAAACCGCACTTATCTCGGGTGTGCAAGCCCACACCGGCTCGCGATGCCACGGAGAGGGCTCGACGCTTGAGATTGGACCCCATCCGCGGCGATTGCGAGGGCATTCCGGAGGTCATTATCGGCGCTACCGACCGCGATATGTCCCGTCCCGCAGCCCTCATGCACCAGGGCCATGGGTTCAGTCATAACATGTAGGCCTTCTCTCCCACAGTTTTGAGCAATCGCCGCAAACATGCGCTTCTTGCGCACTTGCTATCGCGACACGGTCACACGCGGACTCTCCAGCCTCGCAGCTCACCACCTCGCCTTCTCTGTCGCTCTCCTGGCCCAGGCCCATCGGTAGCAGTCCTGGGGTGTCTGAAACCGCACTTATCTCGGGTGTGCAAGCCCACACCGGCTCGCGATATGCCACGGAGTCAGAGGGCTCGACGCTTGAGATTGGACCCCATCCGCGGCGATTGCGAGCTTAGGGGACCCCTAGGGTTCTGAGGGCCGGACTTTTTAAGACCTTTTAAGAATTCTTAAGATACAAGCCTCTCTCACAGCACACTGGCACGACAAGGGCGCGGACTGGCGCGGACTGGCACACACACCGGCTCACGAGGAGGTTTGGGGGCTTAACTTGCCATTTAAGAGATTGCAGGCACGGGGGTCCCTCTTTTAAGACCGTTCAAGAAAATCGACACATCTGTAAGTCTGGTGCACTGGCAGGAGCCATACTCGCATAGGGGACGCGTGCTAGCTGACTGTAGCCAGCTTCCCGGCCTACGGCGTCTACCGGGAGAGCTCCTGCGGCTCCTCCCGTGGACCATCCATCGACCTCGGGAGCTCTCCCGCACCGTTTAAGCGTTTAAGACCGTTTAAGGAATCGGCGGCCCAGGCAGCCTTAAAAAGGCCCGGGCCCGTTTTAAGCCGTTTAAGCCGCAGGCGCCCCAGGGCCCACCCTTTTAAGCCTAGGGGTCCCCTAAGATTGCGAGGGCATTCCGGAGGTCATTATCGGCGCTACCGACCGCGATATGTCCCGTCCCGCAGCCCTCATGCACCAGGGCCATGGGTTCAGTCATAACATGTAGGCCTTCTCTCCCACAGTTTTGAGCAATCGCCGCAAACATGCGCTTCTTGCGCACTTGCTATCGCGACACGGTCACACGCGGACTCTCCAGCCTCGCAGCTCACCACCTCGCCTTCTCTGTCGCTCTCCTGGCCCAGGCCCATCGGTAGCAGTCCTGGGGTGTCTGAAACCGCACTTATCTCGGGTGTGCAAGCCCACACCGGCTCGCGATGCCACGGAGAGGGCTCGACGCTTGAGATTGGACCCCATCCGCGGCGATTGCGAGGGCATTCCGGAGGTCACTATCGGCGCTACCGACCGCGATATGTCCCGTCCCGCAGCCCTCATGCACCAGGGCCATGGGTTCAGTCATAACATGTAGGCCTTCTCTCCCACAGTTTTGAGCAATCGCCGCAAACATGCGCTTCTTGCGCACTGGTGCGGCACATCGCCGCGCGACACACGGTCACACGTCACACGCGGACTCTCCAGCCTCTCAGCTCACCACCTCGCCTTCTCTGTCGCTCTCCTGTAGCAAGCCTGAGAGGTGTCTGAAACCGCACTTATCTCGGGTCTTCAAGCCCACACCGGCTCATAACGATCCACATACGGGCTCTCACACACGCACATTACAGATCACATACGCCACCGAGCCCGCCGCCCGGACGCGCGGGTACGCCGCGCCGCGCGTGCCGTCGCCGTCGAGCGAGCGCCATGGTGCCGGTCGTCGCCGCGCGCGAGCAAGCGCGAGCAAGCGCGGCGCTCCTTCTGCTGCAGGCGCGGCGGGCAGTGCCCGCTGCGACGCCTCGCAAGCTGAGCCTCGGCGGCGTCGAGGTCGATCGCGCTCGCTCCCGCGGGCGCGGCGGTCGCCACCGATCCGGACGCGGTCATGGCGGCCCTCGTGGCCGGCACGCACGCCGCAGTGCGCGCACCAGCCACGCTCAGAGCAATGCGGCGGCCATTGGGCGAGAGCGACGAGTGCCCTTCCTGGGGCTGTGGCGGTGCGAGCGGGGCGTAGCGAGGCACCTCGGCCCCCGGGCGATCGAGTCGGTCGAGCAGGGCAGCGGAGAGCGACCGCGGGCGTCGTGGCGGACCTGCGTGGTGGTCGCCGGCCACGATGAGCGGTCTTGCGAAGGGGCGGATTAGGCGCCCTCGCGGGGCGGTCCCTGGGACGCCCACGGCCGACCTGGCGCGGCGCATACCCCGGGCTGGATGTGTATGGGCGGTGGGGGTCCTTTGTTTGGTCACCTTTAGGCCGCAAACACCCGCACGGAGGTGCACGTCATGTGATGTGGGGTTTAGAGCCAGGCTATAAACCCCACATCTTGACTGCGAGTGAAGATCCACAGTACCTGGAGCGAAAAAAAAGCAAGCGAGCTCTGTTGCGCGCGCGCGCCGCTTCTTTCCGATCAGTTGATCGGGGTCGCAAAAGCGCATGCCGAGCACCGCCTCAAGAATCTTGTAGCAGAATGTCGGTCTAAGGCGCTGGACATTCCTTCGGTGGACACCCCATGTGCACTGCACAGCCGCACAGGAAAACTCGACATACGACAAAAAACCGCCGCGGTCTGTGCGTATGTATGGCAAGATCCAAGGATCACTCGCCGCTCGGAACCTCGGACGCCCCGGGGAGAATCACAAAGAGACAATGTAGGACCTAGGACGCCGAGCCACGCCAACTCACGCGCACGACGGGTCTTCGAATTCGGCGATGAGGCCGCGCCGCCGCTTGTGGCCAATGTACAACCCGCGGTCCTGCGGCGGGATGCGCGTGCCGCAGAACCATTGACTAGCGTGCTCGCGGAAGCAGCGGCGGAGCGGGCGCAGCAGCGCGTCGCGCAGCCGCCCCTGCGAGAAGGTGAGGCCGCGCTCCTCGGAGAGGTGGTCGTCCCGCACCTAATCTCGGACGAGCTCGGGTCATCTCGGGAGGAGCCTCGCTCCTCGTAGAGGTGGCCGCCCCGCACGTCGAGCCGCGACAGGGCGCCGTCGAGGTCGATCAGCTGCTGCATCAGCCGGCCCGACTCGGCCGTCCACCCGCCGTGCCTAATCTCGGGTGATCTCGGGTGATCTCGGGCTGATCTCGGGTGCCCGACTCGGCCGTCCTCCAGCCGCCGCGCCGCAGCAGCGACGCGGAGCAGCGCGAGATGTGGCGCGCGAGCGGGGCCTCTATGGCGGGGTGCAGCACCACCGCCGAGCGGAAGGCGGCGAGGCCGGCGGCGGAGAGAGTTGGCGTGTGCTGCACGTCCGGCAGCTCCGAGCCTCGCTGCGCTGCCACGCGGCGCGTGAGGGCGCCGGTGCTGCCCGCGACCTCGGCCAGCCAGCGCGAGTAGGTTTGGAAGCCAGCGAGCAGTCGGCCCAGCAGCGCCTCGTCTGCAGCCGCCTCCTCGCCGTCGCTGCCGCCAGGAACCGAGGCGGAGGAGGAGGCGGAGGAGGAGGCGGAGGCGGAGGCGGAGGTGGAGGCGGAGGCGGAGGCGGAGGCGGAGGCGGAGGCGGAGGTGGGCGGGAGGCGCCCGTATGCGACCGGATGGATGGTTGCCCCGAGCGTCTCTGCGCACTCGAGCTGCAGCAGCTGCAGGCAGCGATAGACCAGCTCCCAGTCGCGCCCCGTCAGAATACCTACAGGAGAGGCCATTTCCAGGCTCCTAGACCTCTCCTTGAGCAGGCTCCCCGTCTCGCGGCCACTCGGATGCCCGCGAGCTTGCGCGCTTGCCCCCCGCGGCCGTCGGGAGCCTCGGGCCGCCTCTCCCCACAAGCCGGCTGCAGCAGCAGCTCGAGCCGGTCCCACCCCTTTTGCAGGTCGAGCCACCGCCGGAGGGGGAGCGAGCGGACGCCCCACGCGTACTGCCAGAAGGCGAGATACCGTGGCGGCGGCGGAGAGAGCGACCCAGCGCCGCACGGCCGGCGAGGTGGTCGGCCGGAGAAGCGCGGGTCCGCCGCGCGCAGCGCGTGCCACAGCGCGTCGCTCGAGGCGGCGCTGTGCCACTCGCGGCCAACGGCGCGGGCGACGCAGAGGTCGGCGGCGGAGTGGTGCGCGAGCACTGCGAGGAGGATGTCGCCGGGCCACTGCCACTCCCATCCCGCGCTCGCCTCGGTCGCCGATTCCAGAGCCACAGCCGCGTCGTCGCATGGAGCAGGAGATGCTGCTCTCGATGCGCCCTCGTCGCTGACACTGAGGGCATCAAGATCCGCATGCCAGTCGCGTGCGGGTGCGGGCGGTTGGTCCTCGCTTGGCAGCTGGTCCGAAGACCAGCGCCAGCCCGGAAAGGCCATCGCGAGGCCGCGCGACATGCAGTCGCCTGGCCTGCAACAGCGGAAGTTTGTTTCTTTTTTCTCCCCCGCACCCTGCTCCCGCTACTCCACACACATCGCGCCGGCTGCCAGGTAGGTGTATGCTACCTCTCATGGCTGGCACACTTTCCTCGGCCGCCGCGCTCGCGTCCGCCGCGTCCCCGGACCGAATCGTTCTCATCACCGGCTCGAACAAGGGCATCGGCAAGGAGATTGCGAGGGCGATCGGGTCTCTGCCCGACCACACGGCCGTGCTTGCGTGCCGCGACGCGCAGCTTGGCGCGGCGGCCGCCGCCGAGCTCGCCGCCGACGGCTGCAGCGTCGCCTTCAGCCGCCTGGACCTCACCGATGCCGCCAGTATCGCGGCGACGCGCGACTATGTCGAGGTTTCGTTTGGTCGGCTGGACGCGCTGGTCAACAACGCGGCCATCTGCTTCAACGACCCGACGCTCTACGGCAAGGTGCCGCACACGCCCTTTGAGCAGCAGGCGCGCCTCACCGTCGAGACAAACTACTTTGGGTCGCTCGCCGTCACCGAGGCGATGCTGCCACTGCTGCGCCGGTCGCGCGCCTCGCCGCGGGTCGTCAACGTCGCGAGCGCCGCCGGCCGACTGCGCGGCTCGCCCGCCATCCAGCGCGCGATCAGCGACCCCGCCCTCACCGTCGCCGCGCTGGGTGCGCTGATGGAGTCGTTTGTGAGCGCCGCAGAGGAGGGAACCCACCTCGACGCCGGCTGGCCAAACACCTGCTACGGCGTCTCCAAGCTGGGATTGATTGCACTGACGCGCGTGATGGCGCGCGATGAGGCGGCCGCCGCGACACCCGATGGGCTGGCGGTGAGCTTCGCCTCGGTCGACCCTGGCTTCTGCGCGACGGACCAGAACAACAACCAGGGCCACGTCCCCGCTGCGCAGGGCGCAACGACAGCCGCGACGCTGGCCGCGGCTGGTGATCAGGGTGGCGGAGCCGGCATGAGCGGGCGGCACTTTTACGAGGGGAGAGAGATGAGCTGGACGTACGGCGTGCCGCTGGCCTAGGGCCCGATGCGGCGTTTTGTAACTTTTTGTCTCGTGAAGGGGAGGCAGGGGGCGCGTGCCGCGTGTAGGAAACGTGGGCAAACGACTCCTCGAGGCAAACTCGCGCTCCGACCGGAGCTTCAGCTACGATCGAGGGGTCCGTACCATGCCATGGGCATGGCATGTGCGGACTCGACCCTATATCCAGTTAGTTACCACTTACGTACCAGTTTTAGTCGCCACAGTTAGAAACGCAGTGTTGCTGAGCAACGAAATTGTTGTGCACTCGCACATTAGGCAGCTCAAGCGGCACGGAGTTAGCAACGCCGAGGCAATCTGCGGCACCTACATAAAGAAGCTTTGGGCAACGCTTGGCGAGGAGTGGTCGTGGGGGAACGTCCCAAAGATTGTGGCCTCTGGGCCGGCGCGGGGCCCCCCGGAGGCACCGTGCGCCGCGCCGCAGTGCGGAAACGGGGCTCCGGCTCTCAGAGTCTCTCAGAGCACCGACTTCCCGAATGATCACGGTTGATCAGAGGGCAGATTTGGAGAGATCTCGAGGAGTACATACAGATAGACCCTCCAATCATCAGAAAACTCCAACCTGATCGGTCGTACTGACCGCCGACAGATCACTCCAGACAGCAGACAGGCCGACGTCTGCACGCGGCCGGCCGGGCGAGAGGCTTGACACGATCCGACCCTGCGACCCTGACGCTGCTGCTCTAGCCATCAGCCATGCACTGCTGACTGCTGCCACAATGTGCGACCTGTGCTGGCCCACTTGGCGGCCTTCCCGGTCAGTGGTGAGGCGCAGTTCAGAGCTGTCGATGGCGCGATGCCGCACTGGTCCCACATTGGTGACACGAGACCACCAAGTTTGCCGGTCCAAGAGAGAGGCACCGGCGCTGTCCTGAGAAGGTGCGTGGTCCCTCTTGACTGCCCATGCGCGCGAGGCTGTGTAGGCATAGCCTCGAGAGTGCCAGCAGCCAATCCGAGGTGACGCGCATTGCGCCAGAAGCGTGCACACGATGGAAGGACACCTTCCTACTGACCGTAGGATCAGGTCGTCACTGAATGCTTGATACTAAGGCCGCGAGCTATGCAGGTGATCAATTGTGCATCATGGCACGGTCAGCTGCGCCGACAGGCTGTCGCAAGGCGTGATAGCATGGCCGCCGAATTCCCACGAAAACAAGTAAAAAATCGCGAAAAAATCGCGAAAGAAAAAAATCCCGAAAAAATCGGCGCCTGCGGCGGGCCATGGGATCCCATCTCCCCCCCGCATGGACACCCTCTGGGGCCCCCGCGCCGGCCCAGAGATTGTGGCCGAGATCACCACGAGTCCAACGAATGCCGGACGGTGTGCAACGACATCCGCCAGGCGTCGGTGATTGTTTTTGAGGAGGACGAGAACACACTGCCAAACTTCAAAGATATCTTGCTCACCGTTATTTCCAAGGTTTGCGGCTACACGGGTCCTGAGCCAGGTGCCAACAAGCAGTACATCTTTGTGCGCGACCAGCGCCAGCTCGGTGGCATCGAGCTTCGAGGTCGTGGACGGCAACGGTCGCGACGTCAACAACGTCGGTCTGCTCCCGGGCGGTGTTATGGCTGGCGGCGGGCAAGCCAAGGAGTCGCTTTGCTTCGAGTCGCAGGTTACGCATAAGTTCTACCCGGGTCAGCCTGTCACGGTCTCACCACGCCATTTTGGTGACGAGGGCCGCTCGCCTGCAGAGGGGACGGTGGTTCGCTACAGTACAGTGCGAGGCGTGGCGATAGAAATCGGGGCGTCGGCATCCAGCAGCCGATTTCTGTTTCGGCGAGGGAAATCGGGCAAGCCAGCAGCCGATTTCTGTAAGCGATTTCTGCCAAAATTTTCTTCGGCGCTGCGCGCCGGTCACTATACGGTCTAGATACTAGTACACTAAAAGGTTGCCCTGAGATACGAATTCAATCCTCCCGCTTAACCTTTATTTCGTGTGTGCGTGCTCGCTCGTGCCTCGTGCGCCGAACCAAGTTCTGCTTCAACAAACCCGTCGAGAGGCCACGTCACGCCGGTGTCCCCTTTTTCTGCATCTTTGTGAGTGTGGCAGCCCACTTTGCCAGTCCCTAGAGGTGTCTTTGACATTTGACTTCGATGTCTGGTGGGGGACGATTTATGTCTGGTGGGGGACGCACGCCCGCGCACGCGCGCGCACGCCCGCGCACGCGCGCGCACGCCCGCGCACGCGCGCACGCCCGCGCGCACGCCGCACTACGCGGCACTGCCCAGGTTCCCTCACGCTCAGATTCCCTCACGCTCAGATTCCCTCACGCTCAGATTCCGTGCAAGGGGGTGCCGAGGTATGCCGCAGGCCGGGATGGAGTGAGATCTTGCGGGGCAGGGCGTGGGCTAGCGCGTGAGGGCGCAGGCAAGTGCCCGAGGGTATGGGGGTGGGCGCCACCCTGGGGCTACCCGTAGCATTGTCGGCTCAGTGATGGGTATCCCTACATCCTCCCGATTCACAATATACAAAAAAGAAATTGCGGCGTCGTGCTGCCGCTCGGCCTCGGGCCCGCTGCCAGGGCCCAGAGCCGAGAGGACCGAGAGGAGTTCGAGTCAGGTTCGAGTTCAACCGCTTGGCAATGTTGAGCGTGTGTGCGCAGTGTGCGCTAATCCCTTCTGGCACGCCGGAGCGAGTGTGGGCAATCGGCGACCTGCATGGCGACGTCGGCTGCGCCCTACATTGGGTGGAGCGCACGGGGCTGCTGCGGAATGCATCGTTGCCAGCGGCGGAGTGGGAGTGGACAGAGCCGTCGAGCCAGCTGGTGTTCTTGGGCGACTACATCGACCGGGGACCGGACTCGAAAGCCGTACTCACCCTGGTGCGAGAGCTAACTTTGCGCTTCCCTGAGCACGTGCATGCTCTCCTCGGAAACCACGAGCTGAACCTCCTTCTCGACCGGGCGAGGAGCCCCAGCGGCGGCCGCTACCTCGAGTACGCCTACGCCGCTGCTCACCCGGCGCAGTACGAGGCGTGGCTGCCCGAGGGTGAGCGGACAGAGGACCTTGACGGGGTGCTGCGCTCGCTCCACGATGCGCTGCTCTCCGTCTACAGACGCGGCCTGCATGCCCAGGGCGTGCCGATGGCGCCCGACGGCCCGTCCCAAGGACCTTGCAGGAGCCTTCTGGGAGCCTTCCTACAGGCGTGCAGATGGTGCCCGACGGCCCGTCCTCGATCGTCGAGTTCGTGCGCCCCAAGGCCGCGCGCCCGCGCGTTGCAGACGCCCTCCGCCGTTGGCAGCGTGCATACATGCGCGGCGTGAGCAGCGACTCCCCCCTCGGCGAGTTCCTGCACCGGCCTCTCTCCGTCCACCTGGCAGGCGGCTTGCGCGGCGGGCGGTCGCAACGGGGATGAGCCGAGATGAGCCGAGATGAGCCGAGATAAGCCGAGAGTATAGGCACCGTGTTTGTGCACGGCGGGCTCGCAGAGGAGCTCCTCGACAGAGAGCTGCCGCACTCCCCCTCCGCCCCGGTGCGGCCGCTCGACTCGCTCGAAGCCCTCGACGAGCTCAACGCGCGCTGGCTCAACGCGACCGGGGGACACGCGCCGCCGCGGCCAGGCGAAGAGAGCTATCACTGCAATAGCTATCACTGCTACCTCGGCCACTTCGGCCACCTCTCGGCTACCTCTCGGCCACCTCTCGGCCACCTCTCGGCTACCTCTCGGCTACCGCTCGGCGGTCGCTCGGCTGCACTTGGCCGATCTGTCGGCTATCTCTTGTCTATCTCTCGGCCGCCTCTCGGCCAGGCGAGACGCGTGCGTCGGCAGAGGCCGCGGCGCTCGCGCAGTCGGACCTCGTCGCCTTCGCGTCGGAGATGGTTGAGTACCGAGGGCTGCACGGCTCGTACGCAGGCAGGTACGCCGACCGCCACTCGCGGCGTGGTCGACGGCGCGCCGCGCCTCCGGAGCAGGTTGCGTGCAACCTCCCAAAGGCCAAGCAGCACCGAAGCTGCAGCACCGAAGCAGCAGCACCGTGCCTGACGTCCGCAGGTTGCTTGCGACCGCGTCGCGGCGGTGCTGCGCCGGCTGAACGTGTCACGCATTGCGGTCGGCCACACGCCCGAGGACAGCGTGCGGGTGCGGTGCGGCGGGAGACTGCTGGCGCTCGACTCGACGCTCTCGCGCAGGCGCAGAGGCTACATCTCGATTGCATCTCGGGCTCTACCTCGGGCTTTTCCTCGGCTCTCCTCGGCTTTTCCTCGGGCTCTACCTTGGCTCGCCACTTCCCCCCGCTCGCAGCTTTCGGGCGCACGGCAACTACTACTGCGACGAGCAGATGGAGCGCGAGGAGTCTCCGGGTAGGAGGGGCTAGGCGCGGCGAGGCCCCGAGATCACGCGTCGAGATTGCCTGAGCGATTAGGAGCCGAGGATCTGCGCGCCGCGGCGCGAGGCGTGCGAGGGGCAGATCGTGCGCCTCGAGCGGAGGGACGCGCGGGCGGCGTGGGTGCTGCACGTCGTGGAGAGCGAGCCGGACATCGAGCGAGACGAGGGCGCCGTCGAGGACATGAAGCTGGAGCTGCGGTGACACCGGCCGGCGCGCTGAACCGCGCCATCCTCGTAGTCGTACCTCGACCGCCGTGCAAAGCTCGCTTCCGAGCTCTCACGCCGCGCGTAGGGCCTTTACACCGGAGGCCGGGGACCGGATAAGAAAAAATATGTGCGCAAGACATAGAGATAAGAGAGAAGATGAGTCTTGTCAAGTTGTATGACAAGAAGAGGCTCTTGTGTGCACACACGACCCTCACCCGCTATGCAGCCCCTTGGAGTGTGAAGGCTTCGTAGCCCTCCGGTCTACTAGAAGATCCGCAGGACTGGAGCGAAAAAAAAGCAAGCGAGTGCCCGCTATGGGTATGGGACCGGCGAGGGCGACTCTCTATACACACTGTAATTTAACCCTTCGATCCGTGCGCGGCAGCTTCCACTGCATCGCCTCCAAACGCCTGCATTCCTGCTTCTGCTCTCCCCCGCGGGGCTCCGTCCTCGTCCCTTCTCAGCTCTCTACATGGGTTATCGGCTACGGTGTATCTCTGGCGGGCCCTGCCGGCCAGCCAGGGCGCCACAGCGGACGCCCGTCTTCGGCGCGCCTAGGACTCGATGCCGGTGAGCCCGTCCTCGGGCGCGGGGAAGTCGTCGGGCATGATAGTCATCAGCTCGTCCTCCGACACCTGCTCACACGGGCAGCTGCTGAAGAGACGCCGCTCACAGCCACGGCGGTCGTCGCTCGTCCTCCGATACCATCCCGTTGGACGAGGGAGACATCTTCTCCTCGAAGACGCGGATGGCGGAGCCCATGCGCGCGAGGTCGATCGCGTTGCGCACCTGCGCACGCGCGGAGGGCGGGGCTTGAGTGGCGTGTGCGCTGCGTGTGACGACAGCCCCCAAACTACGGACGCATCACGCGACCTTCAGCAATGCTGCGACGGAGGACATGGTCCTTGGTCCGTGGGCTGCGCATCTTGGGTGCGCACCGTGCGCGCGTTGGCAAAGAAGGGCATGCGCTTGCGCTTGGAGAGGTAGTCCTTGAGCGCCGGCTCCGCGCCTGCACGAGAAGGGTCCGAGAAGGGTCCGGGAAGGGTCCGAGAGGAGGCTGCTGCTCGAGCTGCTCCGCGCCAGGGCCGAGCTTGTATTCGAGCTCGCGGCACATCACCTGCTCGCCGAGATTAGCCGAGATCAACCGAGGTTGTCCGAGGTTGTTGATCGCCGAAAGAGTGCTCGAGCTCTCGCGGCTCATCACCCGCCGTCCGAGAGGAGCCGAGAGGAGCCGAGAGGAGCCGAGAGGAGCCGAGAGGAGCCGAGAGGAGCCGAGAGGAGCCGAGAGGAGCCGAGACGAGAGCCGAGAGGAGCTGAGCTTGTTCTCGGCGGCGCAGCACCTTTCCAATCTCGACGAGCTCCTCGTCCTCGTAGTCTGGGAACTCGATGTGGTTGCCGATGCGCGAGGCCATGCCGGGGATGAAGCCGTAAAAGGCGTCCATCTTGTCCTTGTACCCGGCGAGCACGACGATGATGTCCTCCTTGTTGTTCTCCATCACGTTGAGCAAAATCTCGACCGACTCTTGCCTATGTTTAATTATGAATTAATTATTCATAATTAATTTAAATGCCAGATCTCGACCGACTCTTGCCCGTAGTCGCGGTCGTTTGCGGCGTTGTACAGGTAGTACGCCTCGTCGACGAGCAGAATGCCTAGAGCGTGAGCAAACCGCAGTCAGCTTTCGGAGCATCTCGTGAATGCATACGAATACAGTGAGCCAATACAGCGGAGTGCGTGTCCTCTCGAGCGCCAGTCGGCAGACAAGACTACGTCTTCCCCAGCTAGGGAGCAGCATGCCGCCCATCGCCTTTTTGACCATCTCCTTGGTCTTTGGCGCCTACGCGACATGTCTCGGACGTGTCGTGGACGTGTCCTCGACCTCCCGACCGCCTGCCCGGCCTCGGGCGCCGTGTGGCCCACGTACTGCCCCACCAGGTCGTCGCGCGTCGCGACGACCACGTGCCCCGTGCGGCAGTAGCCCATCCGCTGCAGGATCTGGCCCATGCGCAGCGCGACCGTCGTCTTGCCGGTGCCGGGCGCGCCTGCAGGAAGGGTCCGAGAGGCTTGCGCGAAGGGTCCGAGAAGGGTGCGAGGTCTCTCCCTGCCGCGCCGGTGAAGCCCATGTGCAGCGACGGGACCGACGTCTCGAGCCCCAGCTTGAGCCGCATCTTGTCCACAACCAGCAGCGACGCGATCTCGCGCACGCGCTGCTTGACCGGCTTCAGGCCGATCAGGTCGTAGTCGAGCTTCTCGAGGATGTCCTTGACGCCCTCCTTGTACATGAAGTCGTCGACGGTGCCCGCCGCGACGTCGTCGGGGATCTGCCGCATCAGCGCGATCTTGCGCTCCTATGGGGCATGTCTCGGACATGTCCCGGACATGTCCCGGACGGCTGGTCGTGCCGCTTCATCAGGGCAGTCTCGCGCTCCTTCGCCTCGCGCGCCAGCTGCGCCGCGTTCTCGCGCGCAAAGATCTCCTCCTCCTCGAGCCTCCTCTCGACGTCCGCCTACCCACCAGATCAGCCGAGATCAGACCAGCCGAGATGAGGTCGCCTCCTCGCGCCTCCTCCCGACCTCTTTGAGCCGGTCCGATGCTCTGCGGTAGTTCTTGACGTTGCCGTCGGTCACAACCTTGTCTCCGGCGGCAGTGTGGCCTTCGAAGTTGCCGTGCGCATCTGTCTTCAGCCCGGCATCGTACTGCACAGCTGGCGGGCCGGACGGCGGCGCGGCGGCCGCCTGCTTCATCGAGAAAGCCCAGTTGTCGTCCGGGTCATCCTCAACGTCCGGCGTTGGGCCCGTGCCAAAGCGCTCCGGTGCCTTCTTGCCGTCGCGCGTGACTGTGTCAGCCCAGCCTCCTTCGTATTGTCTGATTGGTTTCCTCAAGTGTGCGAGCATGGGATTGCCGTCGTCCGAGGGCGGCGGCGGCAGCTGCATGGCGGCAGGAGCGCCGCGGCATATGCCCACGCGGCGATGTCTGGCCGCAGCACTGTGGGCCTGCGACGGCTTTAGAGCCGACGGCTGCGCCACGAGGAGCGCGAGCATCGCCCGGCACGACGGAGGCCTGCGGAGATGCAGCGTCAGAAGAAAAGAAAAACGTCAGTTTCCTAAGAGTTACAAAATATGAAAAAGCAGAGTCATCCTACGGGAATGTACGTTAAGAGCCACATACAACGTAAAAAAATGGAGGAGGATCGGGAGGCGGGAGAATAAATCCCCCACTCTGGCCTCCGGACCCTCCGTCCCCACAGACAGCTCGTCGGCAGCACGACCACGAGGACACGTCTCTGCTGATCCTGTGGGACCTGCTGGTGGTGCTCAACCTCTCGGAGCGGAGCGCGCGGTGTCGAGGTTGGATACGAGCTTGGTCAATGGAATCGGGCTGCAGGGGGCATCTCACCGTCGCGTGGGCGCACGTGCCACCACCTTTGCAGGATTTTGCAAAAGCGAGGGGGGAGGGCGCATCGCCGCGCGGAGAGGGCTGGGCATAGGGCACAGGGGATCTCTCTCGCATAGGATATGCACTCGGCGGCACGAGGGCAAGGCTGGGCGTCCTATGTTTGTGCTCCCCCCCGGACCCCAGGGTCAGCCATTAAGGCGACTCAGATTCTCTTTTTTGTCGCACCGCCATCAAGCTCCGCCCGACCTCGAAGCCAGCTGGCTCGAAGCCGACCTCGAAGCTCTCGTGGGATGCTCCTGCTGCTCGCCGTCAGCGCGCTCCATCCTCCTCTCGCCGCCACGGTCCAGCGGCGATGCCGTCGACGTGCGGTGTATCTCGCGGAGAGTCCCGGCGCCAAAAAATTGACGCTCATCCGGCACGGTCAGTCCGAGTGGAACCTGGCTAACCGCTTCACCGGCTGGGTGGACGTCGACCTGACCACCCGGGGCATCCAAGAGGCGCGTGAAGCGGCTCGTGCACTCAAGGCGGACGGCACAGAGTATGACCTCGTCCTCACCTCGTGTCTCCGCCGCGCCGTTCGCACCTCCTGTCTACTGCTGTCCGGCGCAGGGCGCCCTGCGGTGCCGATGGTCAAGGACGCGCGGCTCAACGAGCAGCACGCCGGCGCGCTGACCGGGCGGAACAAGCGGTCGCTCGCCAAAGAGCACGGCCACGAGCAGGTCATGCGCTGGCGGCGCGGGTTCGCGGTGCCACCGCCGCCCATCTCGACGAAAGCTCCGCTGCAGAGCGCCATCTGCCGCGACGAGAGGTACCGGCGGCGGCCTTGCGCAGGCGGCGCCAGCGGAGGTCCGAGCCAGGACGTGGTCGTTCCTCGCGGGGAGACGTTCCGCGACTGCCTGGAGCGGGTGAGCGAGGTGTGGTCTGGGGCACGGCCGAGCACTGCCTCGTCTACACGGCCCTACCTCGGCTGCACCTCGGATGTAGGTCTGGTCCGACACGGTGGAGCCGGCCCTCCGCGACGGCAAGAACGTGCTGGTCGTGTCTCACGGAAACGCACTGCGCGCGCTCATCAAGCTGGTCGACGGCGTCAGCGACGAGGACGCCGCCTCGACATGCCCCCCCCACGTCCACACATGCCCGTGACATGACATGCACATGCACATGCACATGCACATGCCGCATGTGCATGTGACATGTCCGAGACATGTCCACAGGACGCCTACCACCTCGACATGCCCACCGCCTGCCCGCTCGTCTACGAGGCGCTGCCAAGCGCCGGCCCCTCGGGCGTGAGATTCGGCGACGCGCACGGCACGTGGGGCACGTCGAGCGTGCTGCGGCACGGCCGCTTCCTATACGACGAGGGGCGGGTGCAGCAGGCGCAGGAGATGATGCGCTCTCAGGTGCTTCGGGACATCGCCGTCTCGACCATCTCTTCGACCGGCACGAGCGGCATCGCGACGTGCGACGCATGGTCCCGAGGACGGGGTGGCGCCGGTGCGGCAGGCGGTGTCAGCTGTGAGTGACCAGTATGGGTGGCTGAACAGGTCCGAGGAGGGGGTCTCGTCGGTGCGCGTGTCGGTTGGTGATGGCGAGCCCTCAAGCAGTGTGCGGACGAAGATTCGGAGCTACTCATGGGAGATGACCTTGGACCACGGATTCCTCGTCAGGCGAGTCCTTCAACGTGCGCACGATGGGCAAGCCGGAGCGGCAGCCACAGGCGGGCGAGGGGGACGGGGAGGGGGGAGAGGAGGACGGGACGGAGGTGCGCATCCTGCCGCCGCCGCGGCGGAACCCGCGCTACGACGGCGTGGGAGGTGCGGCGGCGAGCTCGGCGGAGCTAGCGGCGCAGGCGAGCCTCGAGCTTGCCATGTTTGCGAAGAGCCAGCGGCAGCAGGCGGCGCAGCAGGCCGCGGCGCCGGGTGGCCGCGAGGAGGCGGCGGCGCGGCGGCAGTCACGGGCGAGCCTGATCTTGCTGCGGCACCCCCTCGCCACGTCGATGCTGCATCACGGCGTGGACGGCGTCTCTTCACAGCTCTCGCTGTCCACAGGCACGGCTACTCGGCTTGGAACGAGGAGAACCGCTTCACCGGCTGGGCCGACCCGCCGCTGACGAGCCGGGGTCGCGAGGAAGCGCGGCTCGCGGGCTCGCTGCTGCGCGAGGCAGGCGTGCGGCGCGTCGAGCGCGTGTTCTGTTCGCTGCACGAGCGAGCAATCAAGACGGCGTGGCCTCCTGCTCGGCGAGGTGGAGATCTCGGGGCGATCTCGGGTGATCTCGGGTACTCTCGCGCAGGCGTGGCTGCTGCTCGACGAGATGGAGATGCAGTGGGTGCCGCTCAGCTACACGTGGCGGCTGAACGAGAGACACTACGGTCCTCACCGGCCGCGGCGGCTGCCGAGACCGGCTCTTAGCCACTACTCGTGAGGACCACCTCTTCTCGTCAGGTGCCCTCACCGGCCGCAACAAGCGCAGCTGCTCGGAGGAGTTTGGGCTTGCGCAGGTGCAGCGGTGGCGCCGCTCTGTCAGCGAGGCGCCGCCGCCGCTCGAGGCCGAGGCGGCGGCGGCGCTCCTCGACGGGCGGTGCGAGCACGTGGCTTGCGCCCGCGCGCATTGACCATGACCCTTTGAAGTCTTTGAACAACGAACAGGTATGAGGGCGTGCCGGCGCCCGCGTCCGAGTCGCTCCTGCAGTGCGCGGACCGGCTGCGCCCCTTTGTGCGAGGCGAGCTGGCGGAGGCGATGCGGCGGGCGGTCGACGAGTGCGGTGTCGTGGCGGCGGAGGAGGGGAGGGCGGTGGAGGTGCCGAGCTTCGTCATCTCGTCGAGCGAGAACGTGCCGCGGATTCCTCGAGAGTGCACTCGGCAACTCTCGGAGCGCACCCTCGGCCCCCCTCGGGTCGTCTCAGGTGCTGCGCGCTCTCGTGCGCGACCTCGAGGGGCTTGCAGACGAGGAGACGCCGCTCATCGACGTGCCGCTCGCCAACCATCCCGCTGGTCAACTCTGCCAAGGTGATTCGTCTTCAGTCCTGCCTCTAGGTGCCGCACGCCATCCCGCTCGTCTACTCGCTCGACGCGGACCTGCAGCCCATCCCGTCGGGGCTGGCAAAGGCGCCGCTGCGGGCTGGCTGGTACATGGCCGACCCGGACCGACTCGCCGCCTCGCAAAAGTCCATCCGCGAGGAGGCGGGCTGCCGCCGCCGGGCGCGAGAGCCGACTCCATGGCACGTCCCTCACGCGTCCCGACATGTCCGCAGGTGGACTGCCGGTTGGGCGAGGCGCCGTGCGACGTGCCGCCCGAGGAGTGCTTTGTGGAGAGTCTGCCTCGCCCGCCGGGGGCGCTGGAGTGGGTCTGTGAGCAGGCGCAGTGACGTCTGACGCGAGGGAAAGAATGCGCCTGCAGCTTCACTTTAGTTGCCAGTGTGGCAGTGCGCGCGCGGCCAGCGTAATGCGAGACCGGCGGCCGTTTCCATTGTGCATTGACAAAACGATATTTATTTGTGATCCACCCCCCGAAGCGCGAAGGAAGCCCGATTTCACTCCCTCTACCGTATCGATCCCCGCCGCGCCTCTGCCTCCTCCTGCCGCCGCCTCGACCAGTCCGCGTCGCTCTCCCGGAAGCGGCCGGAGATGAGGTGCCGCTCGCGGCGCGTCGCCTGCACCTCGTGCTCAATCGTCGAGTCGTAGATGACCAGAGAGCCGGCGGTGGGAGGCAGCTCGCGCGGCGCGGCGCTCGCGTCGTAGACGACGAGCGAGCCGCCGTCGGCGGCGCTCCAGTCGTCCGGCGTCAGGTAGAGCAGAAAGCTGATCGAGTTGCGCCGAGGCTCCGACATCGCCGGCTCCTAGAGCGGGAGCACAGGGGACGGAGCCCCGCGGTGAGTCCAAGGGCTGCGAGTACAGCGAGTACCGTCGAGCACAGCCGAACGCACATCATGTCTACCCGAGGTGACTGTTGTGTGCCCAAGCAGCACTGCCACCGCCGACGTAATCTCTGTGCAGCACAAAGGCAACGGCGCACTCTCGTCAGCACAGACGTGCAAATCACGCAAGGGGCTCGGACACGTGGGTCTGGTTCTAGTCCGGGCACGAGGGTCTGGTACTCCGTCGTCTAGGCGCCGGCTCCTCGTCGCGGTGGCGCATGAACTTTGCGCCGGGCGGGTAGCGCATCAGGTGGAAGCCGCCACCGCCCAGCAGCGAGCGCGAGCTGTGGCGAGCCAGACCGCCGCGGAGCTCGTCGAGCTGCACGAGAAGGTTGCCAAACGGGAGCGCCGCGGCGTCGGCGAGCTGCGCGCGAAACGCTGGCTCGAGCAGATCGGTCTGTATCGAATCCAGGTCGTCGCCCGCCTGAGGTATGTCGGCGAGCACGCGCACCATGGTTTCGCGCGACTCGACGAGTTCGTCGCCTGAGAGCCAGCCTTGCTCGACGTGCGCAAACCCGTCGCGCATCGCCGCCGCGGCACGCGCAGCGAGCGAATCGATGTCCGCTCGGCGGCTCGGCGTGGCGGGGCCGGCAGTGAGGCCGAGGAGCGGAGGAATGACGTGCAGCACGCACATACACCTTCTCTCGGAGGGCCGTTGGATCAGTGCCAGTCGACCTCTCGAATTCACTCCCGGCGTCTCTCACAGCACACTGGCACGACAAGGGCCCGGACTGGCGCGGACTGGAGACACACCGGCTCACAAAGAAAGAAAGAGGACGTACCGCCGCCACCACCCTTGGGTTGTCCCATCCCTCCCTTGGGTTGTCTGTTTTCTTTCTTTCTTTTTTGGGTTGTCTGTTTTCTTTCTTTCTTTCTTTCACACAGGGATTTTAATTAAGGAGAGGGGTCACGACGACTCTCGAAAAAGAAAGAAAACAGACAAACCCAGACGAGGGATGGGGGAGGAGGACAGGGTCCCCACCTGCACGAGCAGGATTTTGGAAGGACGATCAGGGGGACAGGTGGGGCTCTCCTGCTCCTGACAAGGGACGACTCTCGAGCGGATTGGAGGTGATAGCCGAACTTTCTTTTTTGATTTTTTTCGTGATTCTTGTTGGTTCTCGAGGTGGACATCCTTTGGCCGCGTTGGGTAGCGAGGATTGGGAGAGAGAGAGATTTTTAGCAATACCATTGTTTTGTAGGATTGGTGTGACGCGATCCACGCAGGCGTGTTTTCTGGCGGCCGACCGTCAGTGCACGGAGTTGCCCCTTGCTTCGGTTTGCCTGTTAGTGCTAGCACGCGCCAGTCCGCACCTGTGTGTCGAGCCTGTCTGCTGGAGAGAGAGTTGTTTTCGGTTAAATGTTCTTTTCTGTGGTGTTTTGTGTTAGTGCCAGTGCGCGCCAGTCCTGTGCCCAGTGTCGCGCGAGAGAGAGTCTCGTTATACGTTAAATTTCTTTTTTGTCGTAAACTTCTTTTTTACCCTTAGGGCTGAGAAAGGCCCTCCCGCATGGTGGCCAAATGTCCAGAAAAGAATTTCCGGGACGGCTCGCATCCTATCCAGGAGGGCGAGTCGGCAACGGCGGCGGTGAGGGCGGGGGGGCGGCGGACTGGGAGGTGGTGGCGGCGGCGTGGGCGGCGCCGGCGGGGAGGGCTGCGCAGGGGGCGGCGAGGGAGGTAGCGGTCGGCAAGGGCTCGGGCGAGGGTGGTGCCGGCGGTGGCGGTGCCAGCAGCAGGGGGTGCGATGGGGGTTGGGGGAGGCCGCCCCGCGGCGTGCTGGTGGGCGGGTGGAGTCTGGAGAGAGGGCGGCAACGGCGACGGCGAGGGCGACGGCGGCGGAGGGGACTTTAGTGGTGGCGGTGGGGCGCGCGGCGGGGTGGGCGCCCACAGCCACACCGACGTGCCTTTAGACACGCGGCCCCACCCAAATAGAGTATACTCGCTGACAGGGATAGCTACACCGTGCCTCACGCTCCGGGCCAAGTTCCGGGCCCCGCCACTCAAGAGAGAGACTCAATCACACCGTTCACTCAGCGCAAAAGCGACACGCCACTGGTCCCTGCGAACGCCGGCGTACATGCGCTGCGCGCAAGGGGCGGGCGCGCCGCCCGATCTCGTGGCTGCGCGCGCAAACGGCGCGCAGAAGACGAACTCGCGGAGCTCGCGCTCCTTCGGCCGGCTGCCAGCGGCGGCGAGCAGCGCCGGGCCGAGCGCCTACAAGACCAAGAGCTCGTGAGGAAAGAAGGCTGTTCAGCGCGATCGCCCTGGTCTCGTAGTGCGTCAGTGCGTTGCTAAAGTTGCTGCAGTGTGCGTGCGCCTCTCCGTCTCCCCAGCGCCCTCCTGACCGCCCGGCGTCCAACTCTGCTGCAAGTCTAGCATCTCTCACTGCGCACGTCGTTCGGCCCACAGCGCCAATCGTACGGGTGTAAGTGGTATCACTGACTGACTGACTCATCTAGACCTCCCATCGCCTGCCGCACGTCCGGCTCGAGCAGCACTTCGGTCGGATCACCACCCGCTGCCTCCTCCTCCTCGCCGCCGCCGCCGCCGCCGCCGCCGGACGGCAGCGGCGGCGCGACGGACGGCTGGCCGGACGCCTAACAGAGCAAGCTGCGAGTCCAGACGGGAAGGAAGCTGTGAGGGCGATGTGTCGGCCGGCTGCCGCGAGCAGCTGCCGCACCTGCGTCACGAGTACACGCAGAGGCGGGGTGTGAGTACGCGCGCCGTGTTTCCGAGCATCGCGCGAAGGGAATGGCTGAATGCGGCTGAATACAGCTGAACACGTGTGCCCTCGAGCTCTAGTCAGGACACACAGATCCTGCCCCGCATCTAGGCTGACGCACCAGCGAAGTCTGGCCCGGCATCCGGGCGGAGAGCGCCCCCGCCGCTGCGAGCGACGCCTCGAAATCCGCCAGGCGGGCGACGAACGCGTCGGCAGCCGCCGCAGAGGGGGGATCGCTCGCGGCGCCGCGGCCGCCGCAAGCGGCGCGGAGGCCTTCCCAGAGCTGCGCGGCGCGCTCCTAAAAGCAGAGAGCTGTCGCTGAGAGGCCGCTGTGATCGGAGGTCCCAGAGCCGCGCGGCGCTCCTCCGCGCGCGGCTCAAGTTTGGCGGCGGCGCAGCGGGCCATCGCGTCGAGGAGGTGGGCGATCGCGCCTCAAACAGGAGAGCTGTGAATGAGGGCACACGGCGCGCTGGTTGGCCAACACGTTGGGCGCGCCTTCAGAGAAAATCTGCGAGTGCACAAGAGAGACAGCGGGGGGTGGTGCTTGGGGTGTCGGAGCGCACCCATGCAGAGCTGCGAGAGAAGCTCGGGCAGCGGGGACGCGTCGAGCGCCTCGAGGGCGGTTGCGGCGGCGGTGAGGCGAGAGAGGCAGCGGTGAGGGTTTGCACGCACCGGTGTGTGCGTATGTGTGTGTGTGTGCGAATGCGTGTGTGCGTATGTGCGTGTGCGCACGTGCGCGTGCGCGTGTGTGCGTGTGCGTGTGCGTGTGTGGTGAGACATATGCGCCTCGAGAGCGATGTGCGCCTCGCGCGCGGCGTCAAAGAGCGGCCGCTGCTCCGCGGCGCAAAGCGCGCTCGTGCCCTCCCACAGCACCGCCCACAAGTTGCCTATCGGCGGGCCTCGAAGTTCCTAAGGGGGCTCCTAAGGGCGCCACAGCACCGCCCACGAGTTGCCTGGCGCGCGCATCCGCTCGCTCAACACGCCCCGCACATGGCAAACGCCGCCGCCGCCGCCGCCGCCGCCGCCGCCGCCGCCACCCTCCGCCGTCGCCGCTCCCTCGTCCGCGACCCAGTCGTGCGGCGACTGCCAGCGCACAAAGTCGGCGAAGGTGGACGGCGGGTTGGCGGCCTTGAAGGCCTGCATGCCGGAATTGATGACTGACATCTCGGGCAATCTCCGACAATCACTTACATCTCGGTCAATCTCGGGCAATCTAATCTCGGCTGATCTCGCCTGCATGTCGGACTTGATGCGCCCGGCCTCGGCGGCCGCGAAGCTGGCAACCTGAGGACGAACGCCGCGAATCCGTCAGGGCGGTGACCGAGATGCTTCGGCGGTCGCCGAGCCGCCGCCTGCCCCTCGCCCCCCCGCCCCTCCTCGGGGTGCCGCGCCGGCTCAGGTGCGGCGAGCTGCGGGAAGGCCAGCTGCGTGATCGGCTCCCACAGCGGCTGACCAGACACCTCGCCGACAAGCCCAGGGAGCGGACGGAGGCAGCCCCGCCCCGCCCCGCCGCCGACACGCTTGGCCGCAGCCGCGAGGCAGCGCTCGTCCGGCTCCTACGACAAGAGAGCCCTCGACTAGAGGGAGCTGTGAGCGCAGATCTGCCCAAGCAGCGCTGCTCCGGTGCCTCGCACTCGGCGAACTCCGCCTCCTCTCCCGCCGCCTCCGCCTCCTCTCCCGCCGCCTCCGCCTCCTCTCCCGCTGCCTCCGCCTCCTCTGCCCCCTCCCCCGCCGCCGCCGGCGGCGGCGGCGGCGACACCGAACGGGGCACACGGCGCGAGGCCGCCTGCGAGGGCACGCCAGGGACGTGTCGTGGACAAGTCTAGGGGAATTCGCTGCACACGGCGCGCGCATGCGCCTCGCGCCGCACGCACGCATTGAGGAGGTACAAGCGCTGCTGCAGGCTGCAGCCGCCCGCGGCGTCGCAAGGCAGATGGGGCAACTCGTGCAGCCGCTCCCACGCGACACGTGCCTGGCCGAGGTGCAGCCGAGGTGCAGCCGAGGTGCAGCCGAGGTGCAGCCGAGGTGCAGCCGAGGTGCGGCCGAGGTGTGGCCGAGAGTGGCCGAGAGTGGCCGAGGTGCAGCCGAAGTGCAGCCGAGGTGCGGCCGAGGTGTGGCCGAGAGTAGCCGAGAGTAGCCGAGAGTAGCCGAGAGTAGCCGAGAGTAGCCGAGAGTGGCCGAGAGTGGCCGAGATGAGCCGCTCCGTCGCCTCCTCGCGCAGAGACAGCCACAGCTGCAGCAGCACCGCCGCAGGGCTGTGTCTCCCGCCTACCCCGCCGCCGGACGCGGCCGAAGTGGCGCCGCTCGCCGAGAGGGCGACGGCGGCGATGCGGCAGAGGAGCGAGTCGCGCGCGAACGGCGCGTGTGGCAGCGGGCGCGGCTCGGCGGGGGTGTGCGGGGCGGGGGGAGAGTGCTCCGGCGGCGGGTAGGGCGGCTGGGGAGAGAGGAGGCGGCGTGTGGCGGCGGCGGCGGCGGCTTGCTGCAGCCCGCCCGGGAGCGCGGCGAGAAGGTCCACCACTCCACGCGCGCCTAAGATTCATCAACTATTCCGCCTCCACTCTTCATTCTTCTTTGTAGAAGGCCAACCACGCAGCACGCGCCTGCAGGGGCGTACCGTGGACGCGTCGCGGACATGTCGCGGACATGTCGCGTGGTCGCCGCGCCGCGCGCCGCTCTCCGCCGCCGCCGCCGCTTCGACCCACCCCGCCAGCAGCGCCTGTCGGACGTGTCCTGGACATGTCGCAGGACGTGCCCCCGGACGTGTGCCCCTCCCACCCGGCAGCGCCTTCGCGGCAGCGGCGGCGCCCTCGCCCCCCGACGCGAGGCATGCGGCGGCGGCGTCGCGCTCGTGCGCGCTGAGCGGCATGCGGCGCAACCTCCAGCCTGCAGGCACCAGGGTTCAGGTACGGTGTGGGTGCGGTATCGAGCCTGCGGTCTCAGAGCACCGCGGGATTGCAGCGGCGCGTGATTGCAGAGTGCGCAGCAGGCAGCGACGTGAAGCCGAGTGCGCGTCTGCTCGAGAGCAAATCGGAGAGCAGATGGGGTCTGTGTTCCGCATCCAGACCCTCGAGATAGGGGGGAGATATCCGCATCTAGGGCCGCCCGCTGTGAGCGGTCTCGGACGACAGCTCGGGCAACGGCGGCGCCTGTTCACAGTTGGACGTGTGATGAGACGCCGCCTTCACGGCCTGTCTTCACAGCTCGACCGACGGCTCGGGCAGGGTCGGCGCCTCGCCCTCTTGCTCCCCGCCCTCTTGCTCCCCGGCTCTCAGCCACTCCTCCGGCGGCAGCTGCAGCGACCACTCGCACGAGAGGGCGAGAGAGTCGAGCGGCGAACCTACCCTCGCCGAACCTCGCCCACTCTCGGCGGATGGCAGAGCGGCCTCGCCCACTCTCGCGGGTCGAGCGGCGCACCCGCGCCCGACAGCCAGTGCCGCAGCCCGCCGCCGCGCCACCCGCCTCCTACAGACTTGCTTCTCGGGCCGCAATCAACTCGCGCGGTACGGACCGGGGGGCCGCCCGCCGCCGCGCCGCCCGCCGCCGCGCTTCGGCGCCCGGTCGCTGCCCCACGCGGCGAGCGGCAGCGCCGCGCCGCCAGAGAGGGGCACCGTCGAGAGCGAGGCGACGGCGGCGGAGTCCCAGGCGTCCGCCGCGCCTGCGAGCAGGCAGCTGCGCATCATCGAGGAGGAGAAGCGGCGGAGGGGCAACTCTCCCCTCTCGTCTGCCGCGCGCGCCGCCGCGAGGCCACTCGTCGAGGACGAGCGTGCGGCGGGCGGAGACGCGCCTGTGGGGACATGTCTCGGACATGTCTCGCGCAGGTTGTGGAACTGTCCTTGGACAGGACGAGCAGGCGGCGGGCGGAGGCGCGCAGAGGTTCGCAGCCGGCGAGGAGCAGCCTGCCGCTCGCGTCGCGCGGGCCTGTCCTCGCTCCGCCCAGTACCTTGGAGGCAAACAGCCGCAGCAGCGCGCGGAAGCAGTCGTCGCCTCGGAGGCTCGCGCCGACCTCGTCAAAGCACTTGACGTCGAAACGACAGCGAGCAACGCCTCCGCCGACGCCGTTGATGCTCATGGCGCGACCGCACAAGCCGGCGTCTCCCGCCTCGTGCGCCACAAAGGTGGCGGCGGCGCAGCGGGAGGCTGCGGCGGCGGCGCACAGCGCGCCTGCAAGAGAGTCTGTGGATAGAAGGAGCAGCAGAAGGCTGTGGGACCGTAGCGGCGCACGGGCGCACCCTGCAGCGACGCCATCTCGGACGCGTCGAGCACCTGTCGCGGAGGCTGCGGCGCGAGCAGCACGAGGGAGGAGAGGCCGAACCACCGCTGCAGCCGGTCGACGAGGGACGGCGCAAAGGTGTCGCGCCGCAGTGAGTCGTCGCCGCAGCTCAGCAGCTGCCGGCAGAGCGGTGTCAGCTGCTCGCCATCGGACGCGAGTTCGTTGCGCGCGACGGCGGAGCCTGGCTGACCGCGGCACGTCAGCACGCACGGAATGTCCAACTCCCGCGCGCTCGGCGCTGCAAGTGGTGCGGATAGCTGGAGTGGAGCCAGTGACTCTGGCCGGGCGCCGTCCTCGTCGGCCTGCCACTCGCGGAGGCGGGCCTCGATGGCAGCGACGAGATGCTCCCACGGCGAGGCGACCGAAAAGTCCTGGATGTCAAAGGGCTCCTCTTCGGGCGTCATTGAGCCGTGCCGAAGGCCGTGTGCGCGGCGAGCGCGCGTCAAAAAGGAATAACGCCGCGGCCAGCGGAGCTGGGAAGAGGACCGCCGCAAGCGGCGTGGCGTGGAGCGGTTGTGCATCCCTCCGGGGGCCCTCTGCGCCGGGGAGGCGTTGTTGGAGGCTAGGACGCAAGCGTCCGTCGCCCTTTTCAAACTCGGGGCCCACTCCGCTACGCTCCGACCCGAATTTGGAGGGCCTAAAAGTTTAAGGTGTTGCTGCGCAAAAGGGGTCGGACACCGGGCGCAGCTCATGCTAAGAGCTAGAAGAGGAGATAGAGAGAACAACCACCCTGTCCCGTTATTGCGTACACCAACAAACACCACAAAACGCTCTCTCTCTCCTGTCCTCACTCAGGGGGGTCACAACTACCAAGGACCAGAGAGGCACGACGTCTAGGACATCGCGACAGACAAGACGCGCCGACTAAGGGACGTCCACGTGACAAGATTGTGGCACCGAGGGTGTGAGACTGGAGTATCGACATTCATGGGGCACGGCGCAGGATGCGCCGTGCTAGTACACCGTGTGTAGCGTGTGTGAAGGGTAGCACAGGCGTCCGAATTCAGACGTCCCCCCCAGGACCGATGCTGAAGGCGTCGGGGATGTACCGTAGATCGCGACGCCTGTGCGGGCAAGGCCGAAGGCGGCACGAGGAGGGAGTAGTTGACATTCGAGAGTCGCCCTTGACGGAGGCGAGGCACGGCGCGGAGCCGAAGATGGCGCGGGCGCTGGGGCGCAGGCCGGAGACGGCGCGGGCGCGAGGGGCCGAGGTCGCCCTTGACGGAGGCGCGGCGCGGCGCGGAGCCGGAGGTAAAGCTATGAAAGCTGAAGTGTGAAGCACTGGCTGTGCGATGTGAGTTGTCACTGACTCTCGATGACGGAAGCGAGACTCGACGGTGATGGAGCATGGAGGCGGCGACGGCGCTGGTGGTGGAGGCGCTGGCGGAGAGCTCGGCTACCCTCGCCGTCGCCGTCCCGCCTCGCCGTCGCCGTCCCACCTCACCATCACCATCCCACCTCACCATCACCATCCCACCTCACCCACCATCACCATCCCACCTCACCATCACCATCCCACCTCTTCATCACCACCCAAAAGAAAAAATTCACCTTTTGAGCAAGTGCATTCTTGCGTGCAAGTTGATTTGCCACCAATTGTGGAATGGTCGCTTCTGCGCCGCACCGCGATCGAGTGGCTGCCTGTTCGAATCGGTGCTGTCAGTGCCCGGCCGCCCTCATAGCTCAGTTGGCAGAGCGCGAGACCTTTAATCTCGTGGCCTTGGGTTCGATCCCCAATGAGGGTGCCTTTTCCCCCGGCTCCGCCATCCTTTTGCACAGAGCCCCGTCCTGTTTTCGTATCCTACCCGTATCTGTTTTCTTCGGCCAGCATGCACTGAACTGGGGGCACGCGGCACGGACGGGGCACACACGCCAGGCGAGTAAGAAACCCATCTTCCTGTCTTTTGTTAAAGAAGAAAAAAGCGGCGCTCCTTTCGGAAAGACGGCCGGCCGCTCGCTCTACACTGAACAGGCCGCCTCTTGCGGGACCACTTTCAGGCATGGAGGTGGTCGACCTCAAGCTGGTGCTACTTGGCCAGCCCGGCGTCGGCAAGACCTGCCTGGTGCGCGCCGATTATGCACGCAGCCGACGCGGCGCAGTGTCGTCACACCCCGCCGTCGCTGGCTCGCCTCGCACCCCGCCGTCACGCTGCGAGCGCGAGCGGAGAGAGGAGCTCCCGTTCGCCTCACCTCTCCCATACGCCTTCACCGGGCCGCCGCAGGTGTACCGGTATCTCTACAACACATTTGGCGAGACCATCTCGGTGCGCGCGCCCGCGCAAAATGCGCCCCGCTCCGACTGGCAGCCCCACCGACCGTGCCGCCGCCACGCTCCTCAGACCATCGGCGCGTCCTTTGCGATGAAGAAGATTGAGGCGCGCGCGGTTAGCCGTAGACGTGGCTCTCGCCCTCGAGCAACTCGTGTGCAGCTGCTCTGCCCGTGGGCCCGGCCGGTCCACGCTCGCCGCGCCACCGCCTCCCGCCCTCCGCCTCCCCTCGCCACAGTCCAACGGCCGCCCGTGCAACCTCGGCATCTGGGACACCGCGGGCCAGGAGCGGTTTGACTCGCTGTCGAGCTTCTACTGCCGCGGCGCGCGCGCAGCCATCATCTGCTTCGACCTCACGGACCGAGCCTCGTTCGAGTGCCTGCAGAGCAAGTGGGTGAAGAAGGTGCCTCGCCTTTTCGTGGGCCGCCTAGGGCGTCCCACACCGCAGCCCACCCCACGCCTCCCCACACCGCCGCACCGGCACTGCCCGACCTCTTCGGCCGCTGCCCGACGACACACGCCCCGCCGCGGCCTCGCCTCAACACGAGACACGAGAGGAGGGGTGTGTGTGTGTGTGTGTGACTCAGGTGCTCGACGAGGCGGAGCCCGGCTGCCACATCTGCATCGTCGGCACCAAGCTCGACCTCGTGCAGGAGCCGCATCTCTCGGCCCCATCTCTCGGCCGCAGCTCGGCCTGATCTCGGCCGGATCTCGGCCAGACAGACCTCGGCCAGATCTCGGCCAGACCTCGGCTGCAGCTCGACCCAGCTCCGGAGGGCTTGCACCTGCACTCGCTTCGAGACCTCGAGACGCGTCGCTCGTCTTTTCAGCTCTTCCCCCGTGGCCGGCAGGCGGGCCGCTACGGGCGCGCGGTGTCGGAGGAGGAGGTGAGGGCCGTGGCGGCAAAGCACCACGCCGACGTCTTCGAGGCGCCCACCCCTGCAACCCCCCGCCAGCCGCCACCCCCGCCCGCACACACGCTCCTCGGTGCCCTGGCGTCGCTTTGCCGCGACACGGGCGCCGAGTCGCACACGGCGCAACTCACAGAGCGGCGACTGCTCACGCCCCTCCCCTCGCACACGAGTCTGCACGCGACAGCTGCCACCCCGCGTGTGCAGGTGTCGTCAAAGGCGGGGACAGGTATCGGCGAGATCTTTGAGGCGGTGGTGCAGCACTTCCACTCGCGCGGCGCGAGCGGCGGCGCCGGCCACGGTGGACTGTCGGTGAGCGGCGTGCAGGCGCGCGAGGGCGGCGGCTGCTGCTGAGGTGCGTCGACGTCTTGTGTTGCGCGCAGGCAGGGGGGGCTTGGGTTTGGGGGGGGGGGGGGGGAGCGCGCTACCTGCATACAGATAGGCGACGTGGGGTTGCAATCATTCGTGGGTTGTTCAGTCCAGACGCGTGCAGGGAGACCGCTGACCCGTGACCGGCCGCGTCGCGCGACCGGAGAGGGGACGCCCGTGTTTTGTCCGGCGGGCAGAAGCGGCGGGTCCACTATAGACGCTACGTGTACAATGTAAGAGGACCCAGCGGGGCGGGGCGCAGAACAAGCAAAAATCCAAGCAAATTGTGTGAGAGCCTTATGGTTATGTGCTCGAACGATTTCGATTGCGACTCCGACTTTTCTCTTTTGCTTGTACTGTGTACATAAACGAAATTATTGAATTACCTTACAATTTGGTCAATGCACAATGCCCCGGACCGCAGGTGAGCAGGACATTTCTCATTTGGCCAACGCGCAAATGTGGCACAGAATGTGGCGGCGCTTGCGGCTTGGCCCTTGGGCCGCTTGGCCGGCGGTGTCGGCGCTGTCGAGCTGCGTCGTGAGTGTCGGCCCCGGTCCCCACATGTATGTACTCCTCTTAGAAATGTGCCCCCCCCCCCCCCCCCGGCCCGCGCTCCTCTCCGTACACCGTTGACCTCTCACACATCTCGGGCGCGAGACGACAGCGAGCAGTGCGGAGCGTCGTCGGTCGCGCCACCACTGGAGTAACAAAACATGGTGTGTGGTATGACGTGCGCCGCCACTACAGCGCATGGGCATGTGGAGAGAGCTGGGTCCGTTGGCGCTAAGCCCTCAGCACGCCGGCGAGCGCACGAACCTATTCAAGAGATCCCCGTGATGCGACCGCGCAGTCATCTCGAGTGAGTGCGCCGCCGATCCAATCGCGCCAACTGCGGCCCGCCCCCCTCCGCTAAATCGGCGGCGGTCGCGGCGCGCGCCGCCTCATCGCATCGCACGCGCAGCAGCGCCTCCTCAAGGCCTTTGAAGGGGCAGGGACGACAACACTGAGACGAGGCGGGGCTCGCGAGCTCTCTCTCTCTTGAGCCCTCCCTCTCTCGAGCCCTCTCTTCTAGCACCCTCTTCTCCCGAGCCCTCTCTCTCGAGCCCTCCCTCCTCGAGCCTGGCTCGTGCGCGCCGCCCGCTCCGGCGCCGGCGGCGTGCGCGAGGTAATAGACGGCGGCGGGCGGCTTCGCGAGGCGTCCGACTCGTCGCAGCTGCAGCGGCGCGCCATCGAACGTGTCGTAAAAGATGGCGGCGCTCGCCCCGGCGCAGAGCGGGTGCAGCGGCGGCGAGTCCGACCCAACGGCGAGCAGCGCGACGGCGAGGCGGCTGCCCGGCAAGGTCGCACGCGGCGGACGCGAGCCGGGCGGGTCGAGCAAGGTGTGCCGCCGGCTGAGGACCTGGGGACGGGGCGAGCGGCGCGTGGCGTCAGCCCCGACTCTCCATCGTTGCGCGGCCCCTCGGGCGGCCGCCGGCACCGCGCGCTCGACGATTGGGATCGCGGGCGGGGGGACAAAGAGGAGGACGACGGAGGTCGAGGCGGCGGCCCCGGCCACCGCAACCCCGCGCGCCGCCCGCTCGAGGCGGGCGAGGAGCGCGAGGAGCGCGCGCAGCTTGGCGGACGTCCCGACCAGCGCAGCCGCACTCGTCGTCGGGAAGAGACGCGGCGGCGGCGGCAGCGAGTGCGGCGGCAGCGGCGGCACGGAGGTGCGTGGAAAGGCGCGGCGCGCTGGGTGGATGCGAGGCAGCGCGACGATGAGCGCCGCCGCCTAGTGGTGCAGCGCCACGGAACGAGTCGCGCAAGTGTCTGGCCGCACGCCGCAACGGCTCGAGGGCGGGGGCTACCTTGCCAACCGCGCCGCCCTGCCACGCGGCATCGGGCACTGCGGCAGCGGGCGGCGAGGCCACGGCACGAGGCAGCACGAGCGAGAGGGGCGCGCGGAGGGCGAGGAAGAGGGCGGCCTGCAGGGGCGGTGCATCGGAGCCGGATGAGAAGCGAGCAGCTGGGTGGGGAAGCGCGAGTCGAAAGAGGGCCTCACCGCTGCCTTCAGCGCCCCCTCGCCACCGGCTGCCGGCGCGGGCAGCAGCGCCGCCCACGGCGTGTACGCCGTGCCAGGCCAGAGGGGCGCCTCGAGGGAGGCGCTCACCTACACGCCGCCCGCGCGCACTCTCCTCCTCGTGAGCCGCGTGCAGACGAGAGGCCCGCCGAGCCGAGGGCGGGGGCGGGGCGGAAGGCGAGAGGGCAGAGAGGCGAGCGGGGCGTCACCTCTGCCCGCAACCTCTCCAGTACCGTTGGCACGCGCAATGCACCCGCCGCCTGCGCCACGGCTCGCGCCACCCCGCCCCCGGCCGCTCCGCCACCGGCCGCCCGCCTGGCTGCGGCGCGTCGCTCCTCGGCGGCGGCGGCGGCGAGCCACACTGGCGTGGCTGCGAGTACGTGCAGCAGCGGCCGGAGCGGAGTCACGCTGAGCGGACCCGCGACGCGCGTGCCTCCGCCGACTGCAGGCAGGCCGAGGGCAACAGGCGGCAGCGGAGGCCTGCTCGCGGGAGACGGCCGAGTCGCGAGTGCAGGGCGAGGAGAGGAGGGGGTCGGGCAGAGGCGCCTCATCAGCCAGCGGTGGCAAGCGCCCAGCCGGTAGGATAGGAGGGGCCGCAGCTCCGCCGCCGCAATGCTGGAGGCGGGAAGCGAGGAAGCCGCCGCCGCCGCTTCCGCGAGGTCGCCTCCCGGCGATGCGCCGCCGCGAGGGACACGGAGGAGGGTAGCCTGGGGGAAAGTGGCAAAGACGAACGCGCGTCTGGCGGCGTCTCGGCGGGCGTCTCGGCTGCATCTCTGCGCTCATCTCACCTCTTCGCTGCAGAGCGCAACCAGCCGCTCGAGAGCACGCTGAGCTGCGGACGGCTCTGCTCGCGCGGCCGCCTGCCTGCGCCAAGCCGCGTGCGCAGCCTCGCGCCGCTGCGCAGCCAGCTCCGCCTCCCGCGCCGGCGCGCTGGCCTGCACGCGCAAGAGCCGCTCATGTTGCTACGGCGTAGTGTGTAGTGCGGTAGTACAGTGGCGCTGGCCTGCATGTCGCGCACCAACCGCTTGCAACGCAGCTGCACCTGCGACGGCGCGCCGACACGCTGCGCAGCGAGCGCCTTGCGCCGCACCTCCTTCTGGGCGGCGAGCGCGGCGCGCTTGGCCACGGCGAGCACCTGCGCACGACAGAGGCGAGCCCGCCTCAGGCGATCGAGCGAGACCCCCCCCCCCCCCCCCCCCCACTGCTCCCTGCCCGTGTGTGTGGGCCTCGCCTCGCGCTGCTGCGCGGCGATGGCTCGCTGCTGCTTTGTGACGTCGCGCCGCACAACAATCGACCAGCATCGCCTCCACCGCTCGTCCTCCTACAGGACGGCGGAGAGGCGGCTCGGGCAAGGCTTCGCCCCTAGCACGTCGCCTCCACACCTTGCCCGCCTCGCGCAGCGCCTCCATCGCCGCGTCCTCGGGCCCGTCCTCGCCGCCCGCCGCGATGGAACCGCCCGCCGACCCCTCCAACCGGGCGCGCTTGAGCGAAGGCGCCGCCGCGATACCGCGCCGAGGAGGCTCCTTCGGCCCCTGGTACGGCCTGCCCACCGGCGCGCGCGCCTGCCCGTTCCCATTCGGCTTTGCGGCTGCGGCAGGCGCCTGCGGTCGCAGAACAAGCGCGTGCGTGGGGCCCCGTGCCGTCTTTCCCCACTGAGCCGACAAGCGGCGCGCGCCCCAGAAGCGGCGCGCGCCCAAGCAGCGTACGACGCGAACCCCGGCCGAGGCACTGCCGGAGCCGCCGCCGGCCCGAACGGCTCCTCGAGCCCGTTGTCGCTCGACAGCGCGGGGATCTTGTAGTACATCCCGTGGATATTCCACCACTCGCCACCGCCGCCTGCGGAGGAACAAAGAGCTCGCGGGACCACGCAACGAAGGGGGGGGGGGGGGGCACGCGCCACCGTCGGCGCCGCCGCCCGCAAGCGACGCCAGCGCCTGCGCACCCGCCTCGACACGTCGCGCGCCGGCGAGGGACTTTTGCGACGGAGGCCTTGCGGGGGCGCCGGCGCCGGCGCCGGCGCCAAACGCTGCCCCCGGAGCGAGAGGCAGCGGCACCTCCCCAGCGCCTTGAGCAGCCTGCGGCACGGCGTGCGGAGTCCGCGGGCTCGACTGGACGAAGTGGAGCTGCGCAGCGCTCACCCCTCTCGGCTGCAGCGCCGGAGGCGACGGCTGCGCCGGCTGCATCGCCTGGGGCGGCCATGGCTGCCACTGCTGCTGCTGCTGCCGAAGCAGCTGCGCTGCACCTTCGAAGCTGAGCTGCAGCTGGTGCGACGGAAGTTGCTGCTGCTGCTGCTGCTGCTGCTGCGACCCTCCGGGTGGTGCAGAGGAGCACGAGGAGCACGAGTGCTGCGCCTGCGATATCATCGCCTGGATCTGCTGCTGCTGATGCATCTGCTGCTGCTGCTGCTGCGCCTGTGCCTGCGCCTGCGCCTGCGCCTGCGCCTGCGCCTGCTGCTGCTGCTGCTGCTGCTGCTGCTGCTGCTGCTGCTGCTGCTGCTGCTGCTGCTGCTGCTGCTGCTGCTGCTGCTGCTGTTGCAAGAGAGCGTGGATCTGAGCCGCCTATGATCAGGCGCGACGAGGCTGAACGGGGACGCGCCGCCACCTCACACCGCAGGAGCAGCGCAGGAGAGGCGGGCAGGAGAGGCGGGCCTGCAGCTGGTTCTGCAACGCCGGCGGCAGCTGGGCGGGCGGGTAGGAGCAGGCGGGCATGCAAGCGCAAGCCGCCGGTTGCGCCTGAGCGCGTGCGGGGGGAGGGGGGGGGGGGGGGCGGTGAGCAAAAGGCCAGGTGGCCGGGTCCTAGTGACAGCCCGCACCATTCCAGCGGCGTACGCATACGCTGGCATCTGCATGGCGAGAGGATGGGCCGCGTGCAGAGCTGCAGGTGCCGACGCGGCCGTGCCCTGGTGAGGGAGGGGGCGGGAAGCTTGAGGGACGGAAGCGGTGGTGTGGGGCAGCTGGCTGACACGGTGCCGCGGCGAGGCTGCCCCAGCTGAACGCTGCGCCGCCCTGCGCCGGCCCGCGCTCCTCTGGATTCAGGGGCAGGATGAAGAGTGCGGCTGGCTGGGCGGCGGAGGCGTGGCCTGTTGGGGCTCGCAAGGGTGGAGCAACGTCGGGTGCGCGGCCCACTCCTCGCCCGCGGCACCGCTGCTGCTGCTGTTCGAGGGCACCGACATCAGAGCAATGGGCGCTCGTCGACCCTTCGCCGCGCCGCGCGCTGCAGGTGGTCTGGCTAGCGCGGACACGAACCCGCGCGCGTTCACAGGCTAACGCGCTTCCTACACGGAGCAGGCGCTGCCATGGAAAAAAAGAATCTTCGCACGCAGAAGAAAACTCGCGCACTGGCACAAACACAGGTTCACGAATTTTAGAAATCCCCCCATAGAAAAAAGAAGTAGGCCGCACATTGCGGATTTGCGGTGCAGCTGGCGTTGCACACCAAGGGAGCCGCCTAAAAAAGAAAGGGTACATTGTTTTCTTTCTTTTAGACTTCGCGCCCGTGCCTGCATCCCTAATACCTCCTCTTGCAAAAGTTATTAGGGACACCCCCCTACCGCCGCCCAGTACGTGCTCCGCAGCTGAGCCCACGCACCCCACAGCAGCTCAGGGACACAATGAGCTCGCATACAAGTGCTGGTACGCACAGCTCGACGCGTACTCGAATGCGGCTGCCACTGTCATTCTAGCCGTTGAGCGGCGGCGTCACAGCGTCGACTCTCGCATCGCGATGAGACGCACTGCTTGCCCAGACGCGCGCCTTGGCGCGCTCCTGTGGTGCAGGAGGAAGGCCAGCGGTCGTGCTGCGCAGGCTCGGCCGTCTGGCTGAAGGGAGCAGCAGCTGGCGCTCAACACGGCAGCGCTGTCCGAGCAGCGCAGCCACACCACACTCCCGCCAAACCACGTGTCATTTCGCGCCAAGATTTGGCCAAAATGGCACTTTAGTGTCCACCTAGCCACGTGGTCGCGGCTTGAAGCTCCAAGCTTCTGGGACTGAGGTCCCACATCACAGGGCTCCATTTGTGTGCAGGCAGGCGGCACCCTTCCGATCGTTCGCCGATATCCGAAAACCGGCATGTTGCTAAACTTTTGGAAGAGGAGGTACTAGAGTAACAAACAAACATCTCTCTCTCTCTCTCTATTGAGTACCAGTGCACGCCAGTCCCGTGCCCAGTTTTTAGGAAAGATTTGTCACAGTGTGTCTGTGTGTGTGGCTCTTACGAACATACCCGGAGAGAGAGAGAGAGGGGCCCAGAGGGGGCTGGTGCATGGTGGGCTGCTGACAGGGTTATGCGACGATCTAGCTTTTTCGGTGACAGTGTCTGTGGCTCTCACGAACATACCCGAAGGTGGACTGCTGACGGGGTTCGATGAGGAACGACTCCGAAGGGGACTACCGAGGCAAGGGCGGCCAGCGCAGCTGAGCCAGACTGCTGACAGGTTTGCGATGAGGAGCTTTTGCTTTTTGGAGCAGGCATCTCCAGCCAGGAGAGATGGGCGACGCACGAACACAGAGGCACACACAGTGCGCACCCCGCCCCGCTCGCAGGGCGTGCATCACACAGGCAGGTGGACTGTGTGACTCCTCGGGGTTTCTGGGGACCACACTAATCGTGTGCTAGTCGCTACAGTCGGACGGTTCCGGCACGTCGTCTGAAAGGCAGTTCGGGTTCGGGCTCGAGCGAGGGAGGGCCGCGGTCGCGGTCGCGGCCAGTGCGCGGGGCCTGGCTAGGGCTGTCGGGCGTGATCTCGACCCACGCGCCGGAGCGCGAGTAGTGCTTGATCAGCCGGGCGGTTTTTGGAATTCTAGAAAGACTTCTAGTAAAATTCTTCTTTTGACTACGAACTCGACACCCGGCTCCCCCCCCCTACCTAACCTATGCTGACAGAGCAGACCGAGGCAAGGGCGGCCAGCGCAGCTGAGCCAGCGCTCGAAGACCAAGGGCAGCTTTGCTGTTCTTGCCTCGGTATGGTCTGCCGCTGGGCAGAGCAGCCCATTGCCAACGATGCAGAGCGCGCACAGCGGCCGTTACGGGCTTGGGTGCCCTTTCACCTGGATTTTGAAGACAATCGCCTACACTGGGCACCGCTAACCAAGATCCAACTCGAGAAGGCAGACTTTCTGGATTCACGGCTCCTTCAGAGTGCGCGGCCTGACATTGTAAAGCGCACCTCTCTTGACTGCCGGGTTGAGAAAGCCGACTCGGAGATCATCTGGCTGTTTCACTTTGGGCACTGCGGCTCGACGTCTCTCTCACGTGCGCTGGGAAAGTCTCTCAGTATTCCAGCGTACCGCGAACCCGGTGCCATGTGGGCATTCTTCAGTCGCTTTGAGATGGCGCAAACCCTCACTCCATCCGACGTCAAGCTCGCGAAAGCTCTCATCTCAACCATGACCCGCGATTCGGGCTCATCGCTTGTGAAGCCCTCAAGCTTACATACAGAGTTCGCCTCATCCCATCTCGTTGACCCAGCCACATCAAACGCTCTTTTTTTAGTCCAGCACTGGAGAACGTGCCTGCTCAATGGGCTCAAGAACATTGAGCGGGGCGATGAGCTCGGCGGCGACTATCCTGTGTATGAACAGGTGGCCTGGAGGTTTTGGAAACGCCACGACGTCGATGCTCGAGCCGTGGCCGACCTCAAACAAGCTCTCCCCGCCCCTGTCGGCACACTTCTAATCGGATGGTTGGGCAAGATTTCTGCTTTCTATCGAGCATGGCAAGAGCTGCATCAGGTGAACGCGAAGCTGGTCTGCTCTTTCGAACAGTATCTCGCTGCTCCTAGTCAAACGGTCCAACGTATCGCCAACAGACTTGAGCGCCGAGCATCAGACTTCCCAGAGGTTGACATCGGTGATCTTGGCAAAGGCCAGCACTACTTCAATGCGCGATCCTTCGCGCAAAGATTAAGCCAGATCGAATCGACACATAAATCGTCTCTCTTGAAGTGTGATGCTCTAATGAACGAACTCCTTGAAGACAGTGGAGAACTTGGCGACGCTCTACGATTTTATTACGACGCAGTTGGAGTATAAAGCCGTTCCGCCAAGGCCCTTGCCAGCGTCGCTGGCGGCGAGGCGGTGAGGCGCCTCTTCACACCTGCGTGTGGCTGATTAGGCCACGCCGGCCTCGGCGGGGATGCGCTCGATTGGCTTCTACTTCGGGATACCGCAGGACTGAGGAGAGTCCGGCCGCGGCTAGCATGGAGCGTTAGCGCAATTTTTTTTCCTTTTTTTCTCTGTCCGCATTATTTTGCCCGTACGTCTGCCCACACATCTAGAGAGAGAGACATCTACACATCTACCCGCGTAACCGTTATACACAGCGAGAGCCCCCCGTAAGGATCTCCCAGAACCAGCAATCCTCTCCCAGAAGCGACGATAAACCTACCCGCGCCAGGCGGAAGCGGCGAGTGAAGCCCCTTCCCGCCGAGGGCCCGCACCCAAGGGCGCAGAGACGGAGGCGGCATGGCAAGCCGCAAGCCGTGTAAAGCAACGCAACACAACAGCAAGGCGCGCATGCAAGGCGCGCATGTAATTTGCAGATCGATTCCCCGACCACCCCTGCATGCGCGGGCCTTGGTCCGGTGCCCCGCTGGCCGAAAGGTAAGGGCTGGACGGCATTGGGCCAATCCTTGAGTGGCGCTGAACACTGACTGTGCGTGAGGGTGTGGGTGGAAGCCTCGGTGAGGACCTAGAAGTGTCTGATTGTGGCAGTCTAGTCTAGCGTGCGTGCAGCGGTGGCTGAGAGAGTGTTAGCGCATTCGCTGAGCCACGGCCTGTGGCCGGCTCGCTTCCGGCACGGGGCCCGCAGCGCTGTCAGCCTACGTCTCTGGACTGCCGTGGCCATTGTCGTTTCTCTTGCGTAGATTGGGTGGATGTACCGCGTTACACCTCGTCTCGATCTCCCACACCCGGGCCGGCGCCGACACGCGGCAGGCGCCATCAGTACCGTAGCGCGCGAGTTAGGCGAGTAGCGAGTAGCGGGACGCTCTCTCTGGCCTAGTCTCTGGCTGTGTGCTGTGAGCTCTCTGTGTTTGTACTAGTTATCACTAAAATTGGAGAGCAGGCCTCTCCTAAATCGTGACTCCGTACTCGAACCCAAACTCATACAAAAGAGAGACACCTTTTCTCCCAGTAAGCTTAAAAGTACAAAAGAGTTCCCCTCCGGGGATACGTACATCACTGTCAACACTCACTCGTGCGAAGTACCGGCCGTGGAACGTACTAAACAACCGCTAACACGAAAGGCCCGTGAGTGCCACATAGTTGACTTTGTCAATGCCATTCAAGCCACGCTCCAAATCGGCACCTCCTAACGGCGACGAGCACTCGTCGCCGGCGCCGGACGCCACATCCTTCCCAGGCGCATTCACCCCCGAGTATTGCTCGCTCAACAAGCCACGCTTCAAATGGGCCATACCGCCTTGCTGCCTCCACGGCGATGTGCGCCTGGCGATGGTACGCGCCGCATCCTCCCATTCCCGTACATTCGACCCCTCGTGTACATAATGTTGACTTTGCGTGCGTTGGCATCGACGGGGAGGGTTGCCCTGAACGGTAAGGCACTGCGAGTCGTCGAGCTGCGTGAGCTTCGATACGCTGGAGGCTGGCCCAACATGCGTTCCATCGGGGACGTGCAAGCCAGGATTGACCAGAGCAAGGTGCGAGAGATGTACGCCGGCGCCAATCGTCAGTGGAGGAAACTCCATGTAGCCCTTTCCAAAATTGTGCGCGTAAGCCGACGCTGCCCCGTCAGTGCTGAAGCATTCGCCAATCGTGATCAACGACGTCTCCGGCTGCATGGGGTATAAGCCACCACGAGCAGGAACCTCGGAGTGCCGTCCGACGGTGGCCCCCGCTAGTCGGAAGAGAGTGCGCGGAAAAGACGTGCCGGTCCATAGTCGAGCTATTGGCATTGTTAGAGAGGTGGCCGTTCTCGCGTTGAGTGCCAACGCGCTGGTCCAACGCGAATGCTCCCTCGTGTGCCAGCCGTACGCCTTGCCAGGCTGCGCGAGAGAACCCATTAGCGAGCGAGAGAAGAGGACGGAGCACACGGCGTAGAGTGGCTGGACGAAGAGCGGTTGGATGACGCATGCGGTGCAGATGGTGATGGTAGAAAACATGACGAAGGTACCCATGTCCGCGCCGCGGTCGAGTAGGCCTAGTAGCACGGGGCCAGAGGTAGTCGCGTGCCGCTGAGCCCACTCAACGGCGTCCGAAAGCTCGGCCTCAGATGTGACGCGGCGAGCTGGTGCACCAACGGAACGCGCGAGCGCGCACGCATCGAAACCGTTCAGAACCGTGCAGAACGGCTGTTGGCCGGCCGCGCGCTGCAGTCCGGACATCATACCGAGCTCGCCATCTGTCAGCACAACAACAATCACGGGAAGTCGGGCGCGCACCGCAGACGCGAGCTCCAGGCCCGTCATTCGCCACGCGCCGTCGCCCACAGTCGCAACCGCGATCCGGTTGGAGTCGGAGACTCGAGTTTGGCGCACGAGGGCGAGCGCTGCGCCGAGCGCAGCAGGGACTGCGAAGCCCATGCTCGAGTAATTGACGGGCCCCATATATCGCGCGCCACGCACACGGAGCGACTCGGAGCCATATGTCGTGCCATTGCCCGAGTCGGTGGTGAAGGTGGCGTCTGGCATGCACGCCTGCAGTCGCCGGAAGAGCACGCTCGGGCTCACCCATGTATCAGCAGCGCCCCGTACGGCTGCCTCCTCGTCTGCCACGGTTGTGGCAAGCGCTGCATGCGCTCTGCACACACACGCCGCTAGCTCCTCCTGCACAGATGTGGCCGGTGCGTGGCCGATCGACTCGAGCGCCCTCAACAGCTCACGCACGAAGGCAGCAACGTCGGCGACGATGGGCACAGCGCCACGCACGTTGGCGCCCGGCACGCCCGGCTCAATGTCGACGTGAAACACCGTGACCCGACGGCTGGGCCAATTGTAGTGCGCGGAGGCGAGCTCTCCCATCCGTGCGCCAAGGATGACCCACACGTCGCACGCCTTGTCGAGCGTGCGAAGCGGGGGTGGGATTGCAGGCCCTACTCCTGGCCATAGCCAGCGTGGGTGGTCCTCCGGGAAGACACCCTTGCCGGAGAAGGTCGTGGAGACGATGGCGCCCGTCCTCTCCGCAAGCTCGACGACCAGAGGTGTCGCCTTGGCAGCCCCAAGGCCAAGATGGAGGCGTGGCTGTTTTGCGTTGCGCACGGCGTCCACCACCGAGGCCACGGCTGACTGCAGCGCAACGTCAACAGCCGGCAAGGTGGGCGTGGTCTGATGCGAGACATCGGCTAACGTGGAGACGCTACGGCGCACCAGCACAGCCACCGGCGCGGGACACCCACCGCGTGCAGCCGCAGCCGCCAACCGCAGCGCGCCTGGCGTCGCCATGTCGAAGCTCTCCGTGCACAGCTTCGCCGCCACGTCCATCGCGATGCTGTCTGATTCAAGACCCTCGGGCTCGAGCACGAGCACGAGCATTGGCGTGCAGTCCATTAACGCCTCCCCGACCCCTGAGAAGCTTGCGGGGGGCGCAGTACCCTCGATGAGGATCGCGCCAATCGGCCCACCTTCACGGTTGCGCCGCGCAAAACCGTCCGCGATGAAGCCCGATGACTGGCCATCGGTCGCCACTATCACCTGCAGTGCCGCCGTCTCATTTAGCCGCGATACCTCACCTCGGATGGCGTGCATCAGATCGAGGAGCTCTTGGCTGGCCGGCGATCCCACGATGAGCCCGACACCCGCCTCCTGCAGCTCTGCGCACATGCGTGGAACGAGTGCACGCCACTCGGCGGAGGGCGAGGCGATCGGCGAAAGTGACCGTTCGGCGGGCTGTGGGGAGAGGTGCTGCTGCAATGCTCTCCACTCGACGATGACGCACGACGCGCACGCGGCCACCATGTGTGTCATCGACGTCGATGTGGCGGCCTCGCGTGAGGATGAGCCTTTCGTCGCGGCGTTCGAGCTGCAGACAGAAGTACCGACCGTGCTGAACGAAGTGCGCATCCACGCCGTCGAGTGGGCATGCGATTGCGAAGCAGCATGCAGCGATGGTGATCGCGACTCTGGCAAGCGCCGTTTAGTCCCGCCGTTTATAGTGACTTGCAGCACCGATGGAAGTACTTTTGCGCCGCCCATCGTCACTCACGGCGGAACAGCGACAGGCATGGAGGCGAGGGCGCTCGTCCTACGGAACGCGCCGCGGCGTCGGCTGGCGCGCGATGAGCCTCGCCGCACTGCTGGCCCTGCCTCGAGAGGCGCGCTGGGAGCAGGCAGACCGCCAGGGCTGCGACGACCTGTCGTTATCGATCGCGCGCGCCCTGCTTGAGCGGCAGACCAGCTCTCGTCGGACGGCGGCGGCCACCGCAGGAAGCTGAAGGCTTGGCTAGGGTAGGACGCCGTGCAGGCGCTCGCGGCGTGGTGGCTCGCAGCGCGGCTTGTGGCGGACCACGGCTACACGGAGCCGGAGCTCTACGCCGTCATCGAGGCCGAGTGCTGGTACTCGCCGGACTTGGGCACGATACGAAAGGAGCTCGTGCGGCGCTGGCTGCCTCGAACCGCCCTCCATCACGGAGAATGCTGACCGGACGACATCGACCACAACCCGCGTCAAACGAGAAACGTCGAAGGCATGCGAGCGACGCTCGACCCTCGAGGGCCCGAGTGGAGAGGCGTGATCTGAAAGACCCACGCCTGGCTCCTCGGGGTACGGGGATCATCTAAATTCTCGTCCCTCCCAGTCCCACCCACCGGCGGCCACCGGCCTGCGCGCTGGCCGCTGCGGCAACCGCCACAAAAACCAAAACATGTGCGCGTAACTCGCGCTCTCTCACGACCTTTCATGCGGTGTCTCGCTCCGTGCCGGCGAGGAAGCGCTGGAACTTGCGCTGGACTCGCGGAGAGCAGCGGCGGCGGCCAGCTCGGCGAGACTCTCGACCGACGGTGTGCGCGGCCTTCCGGCCCCGGCCGCGGCGACGGCCTCGCAGACTCGCCGGTTCATGTCGAGCGCGCGCTGCCGCGACAGGGCGAGAGTGGAGGAGGAGTAGGAGAAGCGGTAGGTTCGCGAGGGTCGCCCCTCGGCGCTCTCCCACTCGTCGAGCAGGGAGGGAGGCGTGCGGAGCACGTGCGCCTCTGCGGGTGCCAGCGCGGCGCGGCACAGCTCGTGCAGCTCGGCCGGGCTGCGCGGCGCCCCGTCGAGCCAAAACGCATTGTCAAAGTCGAACTCGAGTCGCGAGACGCCTGCCGCAGCCTCGCGCGCGCCACTCGCCCCGCGAGGCGCCACGCCGCCGGCCAGCACGGCGCGCGTCGCACCGGCGCAAGCGGCCGCGGCGGCGCGAGAGGAGGGCGAGTCGAGGCCGTCGCCCTCGCGGACGAGGACGTGCGAGACGAGGGGGCGGACTGGCCCAACCCTGGCCGCCCGCCGGATGCCGCGCCCACCCGGCACGTAGCCCAGCTCGGCGAGCGGGCCGAGGTCCGCCTGACGGGGAGAGGGGAAGGACGCTTCTGTGAGGGCGAGGAGAGGCCCTGGAGAGACCGTGGCTGCCTCCGGCGCAACGACGGGCGGCCGCACCTCGAGCGCCGAGACGAGGAGGAGGCCCGCCTGCGCCGCCGCCAGCTGCACCTGCAGGAGGCAGCCGCCGGTGGGCGGTGAGCGGTGGCGGCCTTGGCGCGCCGCATCGCCGTTGTAGGAAGAGGCGCCGCTGCGGCGAGGCGCGCGCCTGCCACGAGTCTCCGATGGCGCGCTGGTTCGGGTCGAGCCGCGTGCCGCCCTGGCCGGCGAGGAGCGTCACCCAGATCTGGCCGTCGCGAGAGAGGACGGAGGCGGCCGCCGCGCAAAAGTCGCGCAGGAGCGCGCGCTGCCGCTGGATCTGGTTCCGCCTGCGTGGCTCGGGCGGCGCCTGCGGGAGGTTGAAGACGACGCGGTCCCACTCCTCCGACGGGTAGCGGCGGCTCAGCTCACGCGCGTCGACGCCAAAGTCGCATCGCGCACCCGCTGCGCGCACTCGCGCCAGCGCCTCCGCGGCGCGCGGATACCGCTCGTGCAGCTCCATCTCCTCCTCGAAGGCGGTCGCGGTGACCTCGATGGCGCCGCGCTGCGTGGCACAGAGCGCGGCCGCGTAGCTGAAATCGGCCTCGCCGCACAGCAGCACGCGCGATGGGCCCGAGAGCGGCTGGACGCCGAGGTCGAGCAGCGTGGGGAGCCGGACCAGCATGGAAGGTAAGATTGGAAGGTATTGCAATAGGCTTCAGGGGCGGTGCTCTTTTTTATGTGTGGTTCATGAAGAGCCAACGTAAAAACTGTTTTGACCGCGCAAGACAAAGGGTGGCTAAGGGCTCTGCCCGCAAGGCGCCCGCGTCGCTGACGCGGTACAGTACCATTGACTAATCCCGAATGTGTGTACACACACACACACACACACACACACACACACACACACACACACACACACACACACACACACACACACACACACACACACACACACACACACACACACACACACACACACACACACACACACACACACACACACACACACACACACACACACTAATCCCGAAGAAGAAGAGTAACTAACTCTTTACAGATACAGTGGGTTGCGGGCATTAAGAAACCTTACCATTAAGAAACCCTACCAAGCGATTTCCGCGAAATTCTAAGAAACCACGGCGCGCCGAGACTGGAACGTTTCGGAATTAAAGCATGCGCGACGCTGCCTCTTTGCACCGCTCGCTCGCGGCGGCGGGAGACATGGCCGCCGATGCGGCTCGCACTCACTCGGCGGGCCTCCGTCCCACAGCCGCCCGGGCGTGCCACGGGTCGGCCTGGCGCTGCGCTGCTCGCACGCTGCACTGCACAAAGCTGCGACAACAAGGGGAGGCTCCTGAGCTTGAGCGTTGAGCAGTGCAGCTGCGGGCGCTCGTGGGCGGCTGTGCAGTGTGAGAGTGCCTGATTGGGGGCGAGTTGGTGCTGCGCCAGGCCCAGGGTGCGCAGCATGCCCTCTTGCTCTGTGCTGAGGCATGCTGGCTGGCGCCCAACACAATGCCCTGGGTACATTGCTCCACGCCGTGCTGGCTGGTGCAGTACTGCCAGTGCGCCGACTGGCGCGCAGGGTGCGCGTCGCCGCGCGTGGCACGGATGGAATGCTTTGTGTATGGCAGATGGCACCGCCGCGGGTGACCGCGGTGTGTCCCCCGCGTGTGTGTGTGTGGACTTGTCACTTGAGCCTCTATGATTCGTAGACCATCTGCGCAGCGCCTCGGAGAGGCGCGCAGGAGGCGCGCTTTGTACTCGGTCGGGTTTGGATGATAGCGGGGGGCCCCGCCGGAGGCTGGTTGTTGATAGCAATACCATTTGTTGTTGTTGTGTGATGTGTGATGCGGGAGAACAAGATAGGTGGACGCTCTTCACGACAAGTCAGTCTCTGGAAAAGTGGTAGGCGACACTGTTGCGAGGCGTTTTTTTGTTTCACTCAGGTGGCGTTTATTTTTGCTTGGGCGGCCCTCATGCTGAAATTCTGCAAAAACCCTGGCCGGCCCCTGCGGTGCCCCTACCTACCTACCTACCTACCTACCCTACTTATGGGAAACTAAAAAAGAAATCACTCGATGGGTGAAGGTGGGGTACTATACCAACTAGAGTGATGGTTGGTGGTACTCTCCTGCATCCACAGTCCTTCTTGTGACATGGGAGGCCACTCTCAAGCCCTACAAGCATCAGATCACCCATTTGGGGAGAGTTGACATCGTGATTTCCGCGGAAAATTTCTTTTTCTGCTGTGAAAATTCCAGCTTGAAGAGAGGGAAAACCCCGACGGGAGGGCCCAGACCTACCCTACCTACCCCGGCATGAGGGCCGGCCAAGCAAAAATAAACGCCACCCGTTTCACTCATTCAGTCAAGCCGGTCACCAGGAGAGAGGATCGGATGGTTCGCCGCCGGCGGTCCGCCTCGCTCACCTCATCGCCCAGCCGTGCCCGGACATCGCCCAGCCGTGGCCGGAGCAGCAGCCGCAGCAGCCAGTCTTACGATAGTCGTAGCCGCTGCAGAGGCCGCAGCAGTAGCAGTAGTCGCAGCAGTAGTCGTAGCAGTAGTCGCAGCAGTGGCCGCAGCAGTGGCCGCAGCAGTAGCAGCAGCCGCGGCAGAGGCCGCCGCCGCCGCAGAAGCAGCAGCAGCAGCGACGGCAGCAGCAGCAGCAAATCCAGCAGCCGCAGTCGCAGCCGCCATCACAGCCGCAGCCGCCGTCCCAGCCGCCGGAGCCGCCGCCGCCGCAGCCGGAGCCGCCGCCGCAGCCGATCCCACAGTTCACGAAAGGCGGCGGAGAAGGTGGCGGAGAAAGCGGCGGAGAAAGCGGCGGAAAAAGCGGCGGAGAAAGCGGCGGAGAAAGCGGCGGAGAAAGCGGCGGAGAAAGCGGCGGAGAAAGCGGCGGAGAAAGCGGCGGAGAAAGCGGCGGCAGATAAAGCTGCGAAGCAGGCCGCCGTCCTCCCTCTTTCTGCCTCTCCGCCTCTTGCGCGGCACCTGGCCGGTCCGTTCCGCGGGATGCGGCGGGCGCAGGTGCCGGCGCAGCGCGTCGATGCGGAGTGGGGCTGCCGGTGCGGCGCCACCAACCCCGCGGGCGCGAAGCTGTGCCAGACAGCCGGGTGCGGGACCTGGTTCTGCCTCGGGTGCGGCAGGCTCGGCCACCAGCTCGTGTACTGCAAGGCGACGCGCCAGGCTGCGCCGCAAGCGGTGACGGCGCCGCCGGAGCCTGCGGCAGTGCCTGCGGCAGAGCACGCGGCAGAGCATGCGGCCGGTGCGGCCGGTGCGGCGCGGGAGATGCGGTCGGTGGAAGTGTGGGGGCCTGCCCAGTCGGACCAACGAGGTTCGAACTCTTCGCCCTCTTCTCTGGGGTGGGCCGGGTGTGCGCT